TAACAAAACAAATATATGTAGAAGTATATATATATATACTTCGCGAGTTAAGCAGCTTCGTAAGCTTGAAGAAATTAAAGGCGTGATTCAAATAATATTATTTGATTCATTTTTAAGCTTACTCGTTTCTTTATACAGTTTCATATAATCTGATAAATGTTAATATTTAAATTTATCATAAATTGTCACATTGGCGTATATATCTATGTACGTGGCGATCACCAGGCGATAACAAACAGGTCTCAATATAAAGCTTTCAGTGACGGTCAAGTAGTTTAATAGCAGCATTTTACCTGAAATAAAATGCATATTAAAATACTTACCTCACTGAAAGCTTTCACTTTAAATTCTGCCTGGTGAAATAATTGAGCCAATGAGTTAATATGGCGCTGTCAAAACTTAGGAAAACAAAAATGGCCGCGCTTCTGCCAGGTGTCGCCACTGGACCGGATATAAGGTGAATAAAAGTACGGAAACTGATGGTAATTCGACGGGAAACGGAAGTGCTATCTCAATATAAAGATTTCAGTGAGGTAAGTATTTTAATATGCATTTTATTTCAGGTAAAATGCTGCTATTAACTCATTGGCTCAATTATTTCACCAGGCAGAATTTAAAGTGAAAGCTTTCAGTGAGGTAAGTATTTTAATATGCATTTTATTTCAGGTAAAATGCTGCTATTAAACTACTTGACCGTCACTGAAAGCTTTATATTGAGACCTGTTTGTTATCGCCTGGTGATCGCCACGTACATAGATATATACGCCAATGTGACAATTTATGATAAATTTAAATATTAACATTTATCAGATTATATGAAACTGTTTATAGAAACGAAAAAGCTTAAAAATGGATCAAATAACATTATTTGAACCCGCCTTTAATTTCTTCACGCTTACGAAGCTGCTTTAACATATGTATTAGCTGATTGCTATATTCCTTTACTTAAACTTGCTTACTTAATTATATATATATTTGCTTTCTTAATGACCGGACGCTTCCTTGTGTAGCATTCATTTGTATCTTTGTTTATCACAAAAAGGCGTAGGAATGCTAGAAAAAGAAGTAAAGTTGTTCGATACTGAGTCTTACATTTTACAAGACTGTACTTTTTTCTTGAGTACCAAAAATCAGGGTCCTATTTACGATTACCAGTATTCGGTACATGTCACCAATCGGATTGTCTCTAACTACTTTCACCTGTTTTGAACCAAAACAAGGCTAAAACTAATCTTCGTCGGTACCAATACAATGATTCGGGTTAATTTGAAGTAGGAACAAGTCATGTGTACCACATGCTGAACCAAATAATACGCAGCATAATTACTGTATGATGTTCAGAACAACAACTAGTATGACGAGGTATTTGAAACAGATCATTATGATGTAAAGAGTACATTATTGAAGAAAAGGAAATAAGTTAACTTATAGATTCTCCAGAATAGTGGGTTACGGAACGATTCTTTAAAAACAATCAACTTCAATATATGTGTTTGCCAAGACAGGTGAGCTTAGGTAATTAGACTTATCATCCATTGGTATATCATCTAAAAACTACTGACCTTTTGAAATTATTACAGCACGTCCTTGATAACTATATTACGGTAGAACAACCGTAGTGATCGAGTCTACACTTCAGACCAATTAGCCTAGCCTCTTAATAGGCATTGAAAGGCTTGTGTTATGGGCTAACGCATAGAAATGCATAAGATGATGCATAGATTAGTATAATTATGAATAAATATGTGTTAACAACCAAGACTTAGGCACCGATGCTCGTTTTTATCATACAATGATTTGCCCCACCGGACCTCGGAGTATGCGACACCTTAAAAACCAGTGTACATTGCACTTCACAACGGGGTACATCAACATTCGATCTTCGATCTTTCTAGTCTATTAAGAGGGTAGTTTATAACCGATACTTATGTGTGTACGCAAGCCATGAGCGGCTATGTTGCGTTGCGTTGATGTATAGATTTCCACACGATGGAAGTAATGAATTATGTCAAGCGACATTTATTATATTTTCAAATTACTTATTTTTAATGTTTCGAATCGTTTGCACTTTTACAGACCCCATGGTCACAAAAATAAATTATGAATAACGAATAGACAATATGTTAAATTATGCATAATTTGCTCCACTCGAGTGTCGTATGTTACCGGTGCTTACATAATAGTACGAACTCCATAAGCGAACATGTCCTAAGGAGAACATATATTGAGCTTCACGTAATGGAAATAATATATTATGTGTGATATGACCCCACAAGGGCGATTATAAGATTGATGACGATATTCTTCCATCAACGATTTGTTACCGATACTTGTACGTGTAGGCCAGCCATGGAAAGAATGTCCTTATTCATAAAAAGTTCCATGCGGTGGAAGCAAATTATACATAATATACCCCCGCGAGGGGCGGTCATTAGAGTTTTGGTAATATGTACCCCGCGAGGGTGGTTTGCTACCGGTACTCGTATATGTAGGCAAGGCATTAGAGGCATTTCATAAGGTTCCACCTAGTGGAAACAAATTGTATATAATATGCACCCCGCGAGGGTGATTTGTTACCGGTACTCGTATATGTAGGCAAGGCATTAGAGGCATTTCATAAGATTTCACGTAGTGGAAACAAATTATATATAATATGCACCCCGCGAGGGTGATTTGCCACCGGTACTCATATGTGTAGGTACGCCATGGGAGGGCATGTCCTGACATGACTTGGGCTTCATGAGATGAAGCTTATTATGAGCTAAGCTATCACTTGCCTCTGCGCGAGTTGCTCATTAGGTTGATGAAATGTCAATCACTTACATCCATGACAAAATATAATTATAAGTATAACTTTATACGAGAAAAACAACCTCAAAAGCTCTGAATCATTATGTGGTGATTGGATGGTGGTGCTTCATCACAGAGATCACTAACTTCTTAAGCAGTGCTTTAGTTTTTTCTTTTTAGCTTTGTGCCCTCACTAGCTGTAAAATACCTCAGAAACGATTCTGTTATCTTATCACTTTCGTTAATAAAATTAACAGAGCAGGTGCCTTCCCGCAATGATTAATTTTTATTTTAAAATTAGCGTTTGCTGAAAGAAAATTATTGTCAGGAACGAGATATATTATAAATTATCATCATACTTCTTTACCTCATTGTTTGTTTCCAGGTTGATAAAGCCTGGACTATGATTATAATTTTCAATTTACATCAGCATATCATTTAAAATAAACGTTGAATGCCTTTCGAACAGAGCCTTCCTTTATCCTAGTTTAGTCACACGACTCACATAAGTATATTTATAACGTGTATTGGTCAGTAAAATGTTAGAACTTTTTATTCATAAGCCTTTTGATATTGATAGCTAGCCATGTTCAGAAAACGGCACATCGACATTACAAATACCTTATTAAGATTGTACATAGTTCACTTACCCCTCGAACAATCTTTTAATAAAAGGGCTACTTTTCTTAAGGCAGCGATGCCGCTTTCGTTATACCAGAAGACGACAAATTCAAACAATTATTACTGCAGCTGCTCGAAGAACAATTATGACTAGATCCACACATATTGCTGCTTTTGCCATTAATGCTAGTCAGTCGGCGGCTGAAATGTCAATATTGACCGATGTCCTTCACTCTAAACTGTAAAATAATTTAATTAAGTATTTTGTAATACATTTACCAATTTACTTTTACACTTACTTATACGGAAACATTAATTGAGTACCAAGAGAAAACACTCTTTTATCACAAGGGCTGCAAAAACTATCAAAAAGAATAATAATTTTACTTACGGTTCCTTCACTTTTAATACGTAAAGTACCAATTTGGAATAACACGAACGGCAAAAACCGTTAAATAAAATAGTTTTACTTACAGTTTTATCACTTAATAATAATAAAACCTTTAAAATCTCACAACGATCGCTCAGATTGAGCGCGTGTTGCTTCGACGGGAGTCAGAACGCCAATGAGTTAATATGGCGCTGTCAAAACTTAGGAAAACAAAAATGGCCGCGCTTCTGCCAGGTGTCGCCACTGGACCGGATATAAGGTGAATAAAAGTACGGAAACTGATGGTAATTCGACGGGAAACGGAAGTGCTATCTCAATATAAAGCTTTCAGTGACGGTCAAGTAGTTTAATATATATTAGATAGGTATTAAGAATTAGTATGATTGTTACTAAGATTATAACTATAGGATTTAATTGTATAAAAGTGAATATGTGATTATAAGAAATAAACCAACCAATACCAATTATTTAAACTAACCCTAACGTAAAACATTATTAGGATTTTATTTTATGTTTAATAACTAAACACTAACTAAAAAATTAACTCAATACAAATGTTATTATTAAAAGTCTCGAAGTCCGGGACGTCCCTAGACTTCGGGGCGAGGAGAACAAAGGCGCAGGCGGCGCGTACGCATTTTCGCCGAGTTCATAGACACATGGACAGCTGACAGGAGACTGACAGCAACGTGTCACACGATCAGTTTTCCATCAGTCCATTCCGGACTGATGTAAAATATCAAAATATTTAAAATTCTGTCAGTTCGACGTATCAGTCCATCATTCAACGCATTACACGATCAGCTGGCGTCAGTCTTACCAGACTGATGGACTGAACTGATGCCAAACTGATCGTGTAACCCACCCCATAAAGTACGTGTGTCCCATTTCAATCCATCCACAGATTTAAGGGGCCCATTCATGATCCTGCATTGCAGAAGCAAGACACATCTTGCTTGGTGTTGCCGGAAGCTGAAGGACAAGGACTTAAGGGCCAGGATCAAATAAAGTTGATCACACGTAGTCCACAGCGTACGCACCGCATTTCCATTACGACTTTACGAAATGCGGCGCGTACAGCGAAGTGAAAACACCGTATCTGTCACATTTTATTTAATCTACCGAATTTTTCCGTATTGCATATTTCAAAAATTTTATCTATGAACACTGATTTTGCTATGATGGCAACACTGACTAAAGCTGTCATTTCAAATGAGCTTGCAGTCTTGCGTTTTGCTTAGAAATTGAAGTCTCAAGCTAAAATAATTATTTTATTTTACATTATTTCAACAAAGTAAAGGTAACAGTGTCTCTTATGTGTTATTGTGTATAATAGTCAAATCGGTTCAACCTAAAAATAAAAGGCTTAGGTATTGCCAAATTATTTTTTATGTGTCGTTAGTTACTTACCAGACAAAATGTTTATATCTTTATGATTATGTTTATTGTTTTACAGAAATGACCACGAACGGAGATATCGGAGGCCTTGATGCCAGTGGAAAAATAATTAAAATGGAAGTGAGTATGATTCTCTGTATGATGCATTACAGGTTATAAACAAAGATCTAACAGCTCATCTTTGCTTTAGGTGGACTACAGTGCTACTTGCGATGAAAAATTACCACTTTGGAAGTCATGGGCTGCAAAAGGCAAGGTGCAAGAAGCCATAGACCAACTACTGGCACTTGAAAAACAAACTAGGACGGTGAGAGTTATAATGTTAACTTCTTTTTTAAATTATAGTAGAACAACCATAAGCAAAGGCAGCAAGTCAATTTTATACAAATAATTGGTTTTGTTCTCATTCATTAGTCAAAATATTTATTGAGCTGCTAAAATGTGTATAGGTCTTGTCACAGATTGATCTTGTAATAAGAAAATTGCAAGTCATACATTTTTTTTGAATTGTGTTAGGGATTTAATTTGAAGTCCTGTAGAGTAAAAGCAGTCTGTTCTATACACCCTGGCAAACTTCTTTAGCATCAATCTTATAAGGAAGCCTGTACAATTTTACGCTTTTTAAGCAATTTTACAAGTTTACTTATCTGTGGTTTTGCTCAAGAAATTTGCCTGTACCTATGCTTTATTTTTCATTTCACTCAACCTTATTTTACAGGGGGCTGATATGGCATCTACAGCCAGAATCTTGGTGGCAGTTGTGCAAATTTGCTTTGAAGCTAATAACTGGTCCGCACTCAATGACCACATTGTACTGCTCTCAAAAAGAAGGTAGTCTCAACAATTTTTTGCAAATATATTCTTGAATCTGTCTTTTACATTGTATTGTATTAAGAAATCATTGGTGAGATTCTAATTCCTTCTAACTAACACACAACATTTTACACAAGGAGGAAAAACAATTACATCACTGAATTTTTTGGTGTTTTTGTATATTTTTATAAGGGTGTTGTACACAGGTAGGAGAAATTGCCTTCTTTAACACTGCTTTAGCAGCCCTTTACCAATAAAATATTCTGTCCAGATGACTATGTATTAGTGATGTAATGACTTGTATTTTTCAGATCTCAACTCAAACAGGCTGTTGTCAAAATGGTCCAAGAGTGTTATACTTATGTCGATAAAACACCAGACAAGGAAACAAAAATAAAACTTATTGAAACATTGAGATCTATTACAGAAGGTAAAATATATGTTGAGGTTGAAAGAGCTAGATTGACCCATATCTTGGCTAAGATTCGTGAAGAAGAAGGCAACGTTACGGAAGCTGCTAAGATAATCCAAGAGCTTCAGGTGGAGACATATGGCTCTATGGACAAACGTGAAAAAGTTGAACTTATTTTGGAACAAATGAGGCTGTGCCTGGCAATTAAAGATTATATCCGTACACAAATAATATCAAAAAAAATCAACACCAAATTCTTTGAAGAGGAAAATACTCAGGTAACTAAAACATTTATTAAGTGTGTTCTTGTGCTAGGATCAAATACTACTTAAATAAAAATAGCCTTTATTCTCTGCCCAAAGTTAACTTATACTTGTAAATCTTATTCGCGGATATCGGCACCTGTCAGGTTGTTTTAAGACAAAGGCCTCCTTCAGATTCGCCCATTCTATCCTGACCCTGGCTGTTCTACGCCAACATTTGGGTAGGTCGACCTCCCATCACTTCACTTGTCTTCCCCTTTTTTGTTTTCCACCTTAGGTGTACCACTCTGTGATATCTTCTGTCCATATACCTGTGGTGGACCTAAATATGTGCCCAGTCCATTTCCACTTTAGTGTTCTCACTCTATGGATTACATTGACTACTTTCGTTATTTTCCTTATATTGTCAAGTCCCATCCTGTCCCACAGTGTAACACCTAGTATACTCTGCTCGATCCCCTTTTGACATACTTTGAGTCTCTGTGTTGTGTGGTTTGAAAATAACCATGTTTGATAACCATAGCTGAGTACTGGGAGTATGCAAGTATTAAACACTTTCCTTTTTTGTGGCGGCCGCTTTTTATGCTGATCACTCATAAACAGCGGTTGTTTAAAGTTGAAAACATTTCATTATGTTTTTTTATATCCGTTTTATGTTCTAGTGATTATTTTTGTTTATCTACATACTAGGATGATCTGTAAAAAATGTGTAAGACCTTTTGGTATTGATTTGTATAAGCAGCCGGTTGTCAGCTGCTGTTTTCACGTTATTTTATGTTTTAAACCATGACAGAGTAGATAATTATTGAGTAAAAATACGTATTTGTATATAACGGCTTGTATATTCGTATAACAAATTCGGAACTGTCAAACTTATAACACCTTCTAGTATTGAGTCGGATAAACAGGCGGTTGTCAACCGCCGCGGCGCAGTCTAAACGTTATTATCGACTACTTTGGATAACTATCCAATAAACAACCGATGTTTTACAACTATTTTCCCATCCCACTACAAACATCGTTTTGGAACTGTTGGTTGGTCTTACACTTACTTGACTTTTTCTTCTTCAGTGAAACTTACTTATAACTTTTTCTTCTTCAGTGTTTTGCTCTGTGGGTGCATATATTTGAATTATCGAGATAGGGTTTTGAGCACCTGGGATTTTAATATTTAGTGTGGCTATACCGTCAGACGTGCTTTGAAAATTTTCAATATATTTTTTAAACCTTCACAAGAATCAAATTCTTCTTCTTACTTCAATCAATCAAACAATCTTATTTCCTACTATAATTATCTGTAATATAGTAAATGCTCGCGTTACAGTGTTTGTAACAAAACACCTCCACAACGGCTGAACCTATTCTTATGTAATTTTGTGTGTTTATTCAATTGGTCTTGGAATAGGACGTTTACATCCATACTAATGTTATAAATGTTTAAGTTAGCTACTCAATCACGCAAATACAACTGAAAGGATTTGTATGAAATTTAATACGCATATAGTTTATTACCTGGATTGCAACATTATTTTTTATACTGGAAAAATGTTAGGTTCCTCCATGTCACACTATAATTAGTATTTTTGCATTTGGACATGAGATTATATAATGCTAAATTTTTAGGAGTTGAAAGAAAAGTTCTACCGTCTGATGATAGCTGTGGATCAGCACAATGGGCAGTATTTATCAGTATGTCGACATTTCCGTGCATTGGGACAGGCGGCTGGTTCCGATTCACTCATTGGTAGTGTAGTATTCTTGATCCTCGCTCCGTATGACAATGAGCAAGCTGATCTAACGCATAGAGTCAACGAAGATAAGGATTTGGATAAACTGCCTGAATACAAGTATGTACTAAAAAAATATTTTTTTTCAAACGCTTTTCTTTAGTTTTTCAAGTATATATTTTTTGATAGAGACCAAGTGACTATTAACCAAAAGTGATAAATCACAATTATCTTCACCAATTGGTTTTGTTGTTCTTGGCATTGGCGAATGCACACATTTATACTCATTGATCAATTTAGCTTTTCTAATAGTAAAATATGGACCAAATGTAATTTTAAAAAGATTTCTTCGTTAAATGAAATTGATTTTTTTTTAGTTAGCTAATTTGTTTCTGATTATATTTTTTTATTCCAGGCAACTTTTAGGCTTATTCATAAACCCCGAAATCATCAGGTGGAATACGTTGTGTTCCACTTATGAGAAAACGTTGCGGGCGACGCCTTACTTCGAATCCTCCGACGAGAAAGGTCAGGAACGCTGGAATGACCTCAAGAACAGAGTAGTAGAACATGTGAGTGAAAGTTACATGATTTCTCTATTATATTTTTTTGAAATTGTTAACTGCAATCGCTAATATAGAACTGTACTTCATCTACAACTACTAAGGCAAGTCTACCCCCTACACCGAATTTATGTTTTAGTGCGCGTATCAGCTGTGCTGAGTACCAAACAGGATAACATTTTTGGAGGTTTCTCTACAAGGGTATATATTTCACTACGGTTTCATGCACAACCTCATAGAAACAAGTCATCATATCGTTCACATTTTCGTAGGATCCCAGTTCCGTCGCCCATTGAATTGATTGGAGATATTCACTTATTGCTAAGTAATCGCCCTTATAGAAATTATTACGTCTTAATGCAATTGATCTTTTTTGAGCTTCCATTTGTAATCTCAGCATAATTTCTAGCGCAGGGTGATATTTGTCAATTTTATAGGTTGATGGCAATTATCTACATTTAATATTTCTTTGTTGCAAAGAATCAAATCGAGGACTTTGTTTTTATGATTGACGACGTTGTTAAACTGTTTTAAGTCATTCAGCATTAGAAAATCTACGAATCTACAAAACAGTTCACAATTGCCGCAACTCACTGGTGATAGACTAACAATATCGCTTCCATTTTGGGCTTGCCAGGTTATCCCACTCATGTTAAAGTCACCCGCAATCAAAGTATATTCGCATTCAGAACACGACTGTAAGACCAAGTTAGCTTTGTCGGTAAAGGCTTTAACAGCATCATTCGTCACTGGTGGTGGTAAATAAACGGCACAGATGTTGAGCGTTATTGGTTTTCGCCTTGATTTGGAGGTAATTGAAACCCAAAGATCCTCGCAGTCACTTTCATGCTCGATGACCCGTGTTGAGATTAGCCGATCGAACACTGCTATCAGTACACCACCTCCTCTCGTTTTGATAGAAGCAGTTTTGTCTCGGTCTCGTCTATACACATTATATCCACTCACAAAAAATTCACAGTCGAAACACCCTTCATTGAGCCAAGTTTCTATTAGAATATAAACATCGTAATCATTGTTGCTTATTTGCTGACGCACTTCAGTCGCACTTGAATTTAGCCCTCTTACATTTTAATAATATATCTTCTTCTTCTTCTTCTACCAAAAAGATAAGCCTTTCTAAAAAGTAATCTCTACTAATATTGTGAATAGGTCCCGGGTTCGAGTCCCGGTGGGGGCAGATGTTTCTGTGATGAATACGAGCAATTGTACTCCAGTCAAGGATGTTTAATATGTATTTCTATATAAATATACTTACTTATATATGTATTAGTATATCTATTCTATCCGTTACCATGTCATAACACAAGCCTACAGTGCTTCCTTTGGGGCTAGGCTAATTTGTGTGTATTGGAAATATTTATTTATTTGTTCCAGAACATTCGCATTATGTCGATGTACTACACTCGTATCACTTTGAAGCGGATGAGCGAATTGCTCGGTCTGAGCGAGACTGAAACTGAGGAAGCATTGAGTCAGCTCGTCGTGAGCGCCGTCGTACGCGCCAAGATCGATCGGCCGGCGGGAGTTGTGCATTTCAGGTGACTTAGATCTTCTATACTATAGTCTATTCACTTTGGCGTGAGACAAAATGTAAACAAAGAATCTGAGGTTCTAAAATTTTTATGTCAGAAAGTACCTACTAGTCAATGATTAGATCCAGGTGCGCCACTGTTGACTATAGCCACGAAAACGTTAATTCAAGAAGAAAACAATCACAAACAACTTTAAACTTAACAGTAAAAAAATAAAAACAAATAAAACAAGGAAATAACAACAATTTAAGAAATAAGTAAGATTGAATATGCACGCTCGCGTCAACAGGTTGATTGGGAGAGTAAAGATGGCTGACGTAAACCAACCTATTACTAAAATACTTATATCATGACTACTCTTAAATTTTGTCGTAAGTTTGGGAATGATTGTGTTTATAGGTCTTTTTCCATGTCGACTTAAGTTGCAAAATACTTCAAATCAACAAAATAAAAATATACGAATTTATGATGTCTATATACGTTAAATATATGTAAAATATTTTACGCATATGTATGTACCAGCTTTTAAAATAATTAACTTAATGTCTCTCGGCATTTCCTATGTAAATAGTATTTAATCTTTACTTTTGTCAAACGTGACCTTAAAAAGTATCATTTATACATTTTGTCTCACGCCAATTTGAATAACCTATAGACTAATCTATATTTCTATACCCACTTTACTATAAACAGGAAAAGAGACGGTTCAAGTTTGTATGGAGGGTGGTAGTGAGTCTCTGGCAGTCTCCAAATTTTTATGAGATGTATTATTGCACTTAATTGTATATCGTTTGCCAAAACATTTGAATTTATTTTATCCCCATTTTTTTTAATAATTATTATAATATAAAATATGTAATGATTGATTGGCAAATGGCAAGTTATCTATTTAGTTTATTTACCAATTTTTAGTTGACAAAGCTTAAAATATATTCCATTAAATAAGTAACTAAGGCTGTGATAATTATTATGTTCATCTTTCATTAGATTATTCGGTGTTTTGTATTTTATTTCAAGAAGAATCAATCATTAATTGGTAAAATAAGTTCACCACGATTTCGCGAATATCATCCATGACTGGACTGATTGACATTAGCCATAGTGATTAAGTTGACGTTATAAGCTACACGTTAAAAATATGATGTTAGATACTTATGACAGGGTGGCCAGCATCCTTACTTACCCACCCTTAAAAAATCATCGGGGATAAATAAAAAATTAAAAGTATTTGTTCATGTATAAATATAAAACAAGCTTTCAAATGATATTTTTTTCATCGCTGCCGGAAATCGACTGCCACTTTTGAACCATCTCCTTTGTATTTTTGTATAGAATGACCTCAAAATTTACATAAATTTAATTATTAGAAAGCCACATGACTTTAAGATTTGATTAATAAAGTTGTTGCTGTTACATTCTTTGGGATAACATTAAGACACCACGCGATTTCATCATAATGCATTAATTAGCGTTTGTGAGTGCGACGGTTACATTTAATATACCTATTCTTGATGTCAATGCGTAAAGTTTAAGACTAAAAATACACGGAGCTGTTTTTTACCGCGCCCGTCACGGCCAACCTCAGAACTGTTTTATTTCAAAACTCACATGACCGCAGTTTCCTGCGGTGAGATCCGTTGAAGCTCTTGCGTTGCTTTGCTTTTGCGTTTCATTTATTTCACATTCTACGCGATATGCGGTCCTGCAGACGCAACGGGCGCGGGAGAAAATCGCGCTGTGAGTCATCATCAGCCTATTAATGCCCCACTACTGGGGCACAGTCCTTACCTATGAATGGAATAGGGAGATTGGGCCATGACCCACCATGCGGGCCCAGTGCGGATTGGCGGGTGCTAACGACTACAGATGCAGCCGGGACCAACGGCTTAACGTGCCTTCTCAAGCACGGAGGATCTCGAGATAGAAGATTTTTGGTCACCCATCCAATGACCGACCACTGCGAAAGTTGCTTAACTTCAACGATCGCAGCCGAACGCGCTAACCACCTGCGCCATTGAGTTCCTCTCGCTGTGAGTGCTTAACACTTAATGTTCAATTTTGGTTACAGTTTGAATATGGATGCGTCGGATCGTTTGAACGAGTGGTCCAACAACTTGAACACGTTGATGCAGCTTGTCAACAAAACGACACATCTGATCAACAAGGAGGAATGCGTCCATAAACACCTTTTAGCAACTGCAGAGTAAAATACCTCCTAACTTACTTTTAAGGACTGAAATGGTCCAATAAGATATCACTGTAATTTTTATATTTATTATTACAATGTTAAATGTTCTACTATGTAGATATTAACACACATATGTCCAAAAAAATATTGTTCTTCGGTTAAAAAAATACATATTTTGTCAATCTTAACAGATTTATTTCAGAGTTTACAAAAACTTTGTAACCGTATTACTGGACAAACATTAATAAAAAATAAAATTCTAATACATTATAACTGTCGTATTTTATTTTTAATATACCTTCCCTTATGCTAAATTTTTTTTTTCCCCCTATCCGGGACACTCGGTGTCCGCGAAGGTACTGAATGATATGTGCTAGCGTAGCACAAATAATGATTTAAAATAATAAAATTAAACTTTTGGACCACCCCGAAACAGTTTTTATAAACCCGCGCAATAAAGAAAGGATCTGTAAATGGCGTCCGCTAGCATGCTATCTCGCTTACAATCTATCGCTGTCTATACTCACAAAAATAATGATAATGATCAGTGTTAGCAAACAATGATATTGTCACTCATGTTGATGACATTCTTCCGGAAATCATACATAATAATGCAAAATAAATAAACTTATCCCATGTTTTTCTTTGAATAATTTCTCCCCTGCTAAAGCAATTCAAACATAAATAATAGAGACAATGAAAACATCCAGTGTTATATTTAACCTTGTTCCTTATTTATTTTATTAATATTTTTAGTCATTATTATTAGTATTAATAATAATAAAAAAGAATATTTAATAACAAAATGTGAGTAGGAAAAATAAAAAAAAATGATGTGGTGTCGTGGGACACCAGGTAGGAACGAAGTTCCTTCGGCTAATGTAGAATCGACACAAATTGCAAACTCGCTTGTGTATGCGACTGTCGCGCCTGCGCACGTCTCATTTAACGGTTTTATTCCACGCACTTTTTTTCACGGATTTTTTCTTACGGTTTTACTATCACATTTTTTTCAGTTCGGTCAGCTAGTGTTCGTAAAGATTGCTAGGCAGGACTGGCCCACAGTTTATAATAAACTACAATGTCACAATAATCCAGTAATGCAGCCCCGTCGCTCTGCCACCCCCCTGGACTTAACCACAGTTTAGTATAATATACGACAATAATCCAGTGTTGGTATAATGCCACAATAATTTAGGGTTGCACCCCTGTCGCTATGTCACCCCCTGTTAAGTACTGACCTTGTTATCATGTTTAGCTTAAGTTTACAGCAGATGAAAGGCGTTCCTGGTCCACAGCTCGGTATAACGTCACAAATATCCAGATTTCGTGTAATGTCACAATATTCCAGTGCTGCACCCTCGTAGCTGTGCCACCCCCACATACGCACCTTATTATCATGTCCCGCTAGCGTTCGTAAAGGATGCTAGGCAGGACTGGCCCACAGTTTAGAATAAACTACAATATCACAATAATCCAGTGATGCACCCCCGTCGCTCTGCCACCTCCTGATAAGTACTCACCTTGTAATCATAATCATGTCTCACAGGCGTTACTGGTCCACAGCTTGATATAACTTCACAAATATCCAGTGTTGGTGTAATATCACAATATTTCAGTGATGCACCCTCGTCGCTCTACCACCCCCTATAACTTCACACATATTCAGTGTTGGTGTAATATAATAATATTTCAGTGATGCGCCCTCGTCGCTCTACCACCCCCTATAACTTCACACATATTCAGTGTTGGTGTAATATCACAATATTTCAGTGATGCACCCTTGTCGCTCTACCACCCCCTATAACTTCAAACATATTCACTGTTGGTGTAGTATCACAATATTTCAGTGATGCACCCTCGTCGCTCTACCACCCCCTATAACTTCACACATATTCACTGTTGGTGTAGTATCACAATATTTCAGTGATGCACCCTCGTCGCTCTACCCACCCCCTATAACTTCACACATATTCAGTGTTGGTGTAATATAACAATATTTCAGTGATGCACCCTCGTCGCTCTACCACCCCCTATAACTTCACACATAGTCAGTGTTGGTGTAATATCACATTATTTCAGTGATGCACCCTTGTCGCTCTACCACCCCCTATAACTTCACACATATTCAGTGTTGGTGTAATATCACAATATTTCAGTGATGCACCCTTGTCGCTCTACCACCCCCTATAACTTCACACATATTCAGTGTTGGTGTAATATCACAATATTTCAGTGATGCACCCTTGTCGCTCTACCACCCCCTATAACTTCACACATATTCAGTGTTGGTGTAATATCACAATATTTCAGTGATGCACCCTCGTCGCTTTACCACCCCCTATAACTTCACACATATTCAGTGTTGGTGTAATATCACAATATTTCAGTGATGCACCCTTGTCGCTCTACCACCTCCTATAACTTCACACATATTCACTGTTGGTGTAGTATCACAATATTTCAGTGATGCACTGTCGTCGCTCTACCACTCCCTATAACTTCACACATATTCAGTGTTGGTGTAATATCACAATATTTCAGTGATGCACCCTCGTCGCTCTCTCTCTCCTGCCGTAAGGAACTTCGTCGCGCCTGCGGACGTCTCATTTAACGGTTTTATTCCACGCACTTTTTTCCACGGATTTTTTCTTACGGTTTTACTATCACATTTTTTTCAGTTCGGTCGCGCAGCAAAATCCCTATCCAATAATATAAATATCCAAAAATATTTTTTTAGAACTTGTTTTGCCAACGTACGATATGGGTATAAAGGCGGCGGAATAAAAAAAATCTTTATCTGCGCGTCTAAAAGTCCCTCAAAGGGTATGTGTAGTGTAAGAGTGTAACCCTTCAAAAAGTTCTAAACAACTCGTATACCTAATTACCGATAACACAAGTCAACACGATTTTTGAGTCTGAGTTCTTTGTACCAGATTTTGATTTCTTATACCTAATTAATGTAAGAAACAATATTTTTATTTAAAAAAGTTTGCTTTTGTTGCTATCAGAATGAAATTTTAAATTTCATGGAAAACTGCAAACTTCTTTGTTTAACTTATAACAAGTAAATAATCATTAATATATTTATTTAAAACTCTTTTATTTTCTTTAGACAAATAAACCAAGTCTCTGTATACAAAAAATATATTGAGTTAGTTTTAAAAATTGATATTTTTAGCATATTTTATAATTTTTAGTCTGCAAATTTTCTGAAGTAAACAAAATACCATGGAAAGGACATCGACGAAATCGGCCCTAGCATGCCCAAAAGAATGTCCTTCACTATTATTTTTCTATTTTTTTTTTAACTTATTAGCAATTAATCATAGTAAACGGACAATCTGTTTAAAAAATAAAAGTTCTGTTACTAGATACTACAGTCTGTTCATCCAACTTGACACTCCTTTTTACTGAAAATACAGCATTAAAAATCAACTGATAACTGGATTCAATAGGTTTCAGTCTATAATAACGATTTATTTCAATAGTTTATTGGCTTCGTTAATATTTTATTATTAAATGGGTGATTCTGTTAAAAAGTTGTGCCAAGATTGTAGTCCAGTCAGTATTGTCGCGAAATCCGTTTTTCCTCAAACAGCTGGAACTATGCTAAAAAGTTTCTTAAGATAGTAAAGAACACTTTACATAGAGAAAAAAATGTTTCCAACCCCGGGCAAGGGTGAAAACCACCCTTAATAATCTATTTTTCCAATTATCTCAAAAAGTATACGAGATACGGAAAAAAACTTCAAATGAAAATTGTAGATCTTTTTGAAATCTACAAAACATTATTCCACCCTCTTGCCCCTATTTTCAATAGGGGAGCCAATAATCGAAGTCAAAGATAACTTTTTTAACTAACTTTAACTTTTTAAGTATTGAATCTTTGACTTCGATTATTGGCTCCCCTATTGAAAATAGGGGCAAGAGGGTGGAATAATGTTTTGTAGATTTCAAAAAGATCTACAATTTTCATTTGAAGTTTTTTTCCGTATCTCGTATACTTTTTGAGATAATTGGAAAAATAGATTATTAAGGGTGGTTTTCACCCTTGCCCGGGGTTGGAAACATTTTTTTCTCTATGTAAAGTGTTCTTTACTATCTTAAGAAACTTTTTAGCATAGTTCCAGCTGTTTGAGGAAAAACGGATTTCGCGACAATACTGACTGGACTATTGTTTACCTTAGTAATGCAATATAGGCGACCATAGGTATTTATCAACATAAAAATAGAACAAGGTACCTTAGTTAATAATACTTATTACTAGTATTTATATTATATTTATGAAAAGATTATTTCTGAAATTATCTAAAGATAGTTTATACTCCCATCTCATGTAATATATGTTTATTTTTATGAAAATCATAATGATAACCAGGTACATACCTAATTACCGATAGTAAACTATAGGAACAGGTAAATGGAAAGACTGAACATTTCATTTGAAAAGAAATCTATCATTACTTACTACAGGTAGGTATAGGTATCATAGGTGCCAACTGACAACACTCATAAATCAATGAATATAAGCATTTATTATTTTTATTATTAATTGCATTTTATGTTCATTTAATGCATATTATTTAAGTGCTTACATAGAGGTAAACACTAAATCTATTCAGAATATATAAAGTGTACATCTTTTATGATTAAGTATAATAATTATAACCTCAAAATCTAATACATTCTGTATTAGGCCACGGTTCCTCAAGTTGTCCGTATCTCAACAAATGCTTATTTAGAGTTTATGAATGATTCCGAACACAACTAGCATTTTCTCATTGCTGGGCGTTCTAGGGCATTCAATGTATGGGGAACGAGCAATGTCCTTTGGTATATCCTCATGCGACGCCCATATTTTATCCTGACTTCGAATAGAAAGTTAAAGTAAGCTTCATATGCTTAATTATGCCTTTTACTACTGGATAAACAACATTTTTTGATCCTAAATTAAAATAAATCAAACAGAGTCGACGTAGTTTTTACTCATTTTGGAAGATATTTTACCGCTCAAGACTCACAAAATACGTCGTTTCCCTTCAATAAAGATTTTTTTCATGCAACTGAGATATAATATAATGATAGGGTTCATAATGAATAAAACTATATCAGACTAAATATTATAATTCTTTTTCTGACAATCTGAATGTGAATTTTGTATATCGTCATGAGGCGTCCAAATTTTATCCTGAAGTCAAATAGGAAGTTAAAATTAAGCTTCATATGTTTAATTAAGTCTTTAACTACAGGTTAAACCATTGTTATGACTCTAAATTTTAAAAAAATATCCGCAAATAAAGCAAACAGGGTCCACATAGTTTTTACTCATTTTGGAAGGCACTTACCGCTCTAGGCATTTACAAAATACGTCTTTTCTCTAAAAGGTGTGTACATGCACTGAGTAATTGCTCTTCTGTCCTATTCCATACCCAATATCCTTCTGCACTCCTTTCTTTTGCTTATTATAAGCGGTAGATCCTCAGCCTTTTACAAAAGTCATACATATTTATTTATCATTATATAAAGTACAAAAGCAAACATTTTAAAATAAAAATGAGGTTTCTGGTTATTTTTCGATATAAACTATTAGACAATAGTCATTAAATAACAGACTCAAAATTTTTTTTTCATTTTGTTGACTTGTGTAATCTGTGTTCTCGTTGATAGAAACCACCAGACAATTTTACAAAAGATCGTTAACAAACGCGGGTAAATTAAAAACAAATAGTTATACCATTTCACTGTTGGAAAAAGTCTAACATGCTCTTTCATGATTTTATTTGAACGGAATCTTTTTATACTAAGTATCCATGCTAGACATTTCAATTTCGTTACCTTTTTTGTATTTAAAATATGATAGCGAACGGTACTTATTAATACATCGGAAAGTGATTAGATTTAGATAAGTTGAGATAATATATTTTCAACAAATTAGATATAATTCAGTTTTAATTGCATTGGAATCGTGTCAGGCTTATTTTAGTTACCTTTATATTTATTAAAATGTTAACATTAATATCAGTGTTAATCCCCGTGTTTCTAGTGATATTCTTCAGATATGTTAATAAAAGAAATGAACCAGCTATTTTTGGAGTGTATAAGCAACAAAATAAATCATATTATTTTAAGTTTGCTTTCATGTACACTATTTTGAAATTGCGGCAGGTAAGTAATGGTTTTCAGTTATTTTTAAATTATTTATTTTTAACATGGTTGTCCTAACATTCCTTACAGTAGGTATCAGTATTGAAAAGAAAATATAACATGGCTCAGCTTTCCATTAGTTGTGGTTGAGTATCGAGCTGAGATTTTTGTCACGGAAAGTATTAATTATTAGGAACACGTGCACGAAATCTTTTTATTCTTTCGTAGGGGGGGAGTCGGGGAGACCCCCTCCTCCCCCCCACATCAAAACTACCCCGAAATTCCACCACAACTAATGGAATTTAGTACCTATAACTTGAATAAATTTAATTTTACACGACACTCACCTTTTTTTACATTACGTATATACCATCATGTTATCATGAAGGTCGCAATTATAACCAAGCAAATGGTCCTTCTGATGGTAATTTTTTAGGTTTGGCCTAAGTGTTGCAGAGTGCAACCGATGTCCATTATCCCCTACCTACTGCGTGGATATCTAGAAACCTTACTCACCGACAGAAACACGCACAAAAATGTAAGGTACCTTATACAAATAAGACCAATACTGAAATAAGGCCTGTTGTGCAGAAAAGTCTTATTTACATTAAAAATACTTTATACACGCATAGACGACAGTTCTACAACTCGGCAAATTGTGCACGAGCGGTCCGCTCGAGCTCATAGCGTCAGTTGTGGCGGTACTTTGTGAAGGGCGAGCGTTTTCATAGCGCGTTATTAATTTGTCCTAATTTTTATCGAATTTTAATACGGATGTAATGTATACGGATCACAATATAACTAATCTAAAAGTTAACCAAGACTTCAAATGGATTTTTTTAGATAATGCGAATTAAATAAGTACTGCTTATAACTTTTATTAAGTATAATGTACTAAATGAAGGGCTAAACTGTACTTCCAGGACCCAAGCGGTAATAATTCACACTAGGTTAGGTTAGTGTTGTGACTATAACGCGCCCTCTACTATATAGTACTTATTATCAGTAAGACTGATTAATGTTACTAAGCAAATTATGCTACTTATAACGTTCTAAGGCCTTATTTAGTTATCTTGTTTAATTAAGGCCAATCAATATTATCATCATATTAGTTGTTGTTATTTATTAGTGGGGGCTACCCACTAAAAACCCAACAGTGCTCCCTCGTCTGCCGGAACGGGTTATGCGGGATCCGGGTGACGCTCCACGTTACCCCGGCAGAGGTTCCTCCTCCTCCTGATGCTCAGGGGGCGCACAGGACGGACTACCCTGTCCGCCGCCCGCAGTCCCACTAGGGTGGAACGAGGCGGTCGTACTGCCGCCGTCTTCCCCCCGGTCGTCGGCGACGGAGAGGGCCGGCCCGGGCGCCCCCTCGCGGGCCCTCTCCGCTGTCTCCTTCTGTAGGATGACTTCCTCACAGAAGGAGACGACCGCGTTCCAGGATCTGTCGCTGTCCAGCATCGCTTTAACGACGCTGGGCAACGAGAGATCCCTTCCCACTGCCATGACCATATCATGGCGCTGCCGAAACCACGACGAGCACTCCTCAAGGGTGTGCTGCGCCGTGTCCTCGACAGCGCCACAATGATGGCAAGACGGGGTCGCTTCCTTCCGTATGCGATGCAAGTAGCTGCCAAAACATCCATGCCCTGACAGCATCTGCACCAGACGGAAGGTCAGCGACCCAAATCCGCAGTGCCCTACCTCTTTTAAACAAATAAAGGGGGTTAAGGGGCAGATGTTTGTGTGATGAATACGAGCATTTGTACTCCAGTCAAGGATGTTTAATATGTATTTCTATATAAATATACTTATATATGTATTCTATCCGTTACCCTAGTATCCCATAACACAAGCCTTTCAGTGCTTACTTTGGGGCTAGGCTAATTGGTGATTGATGTAAAACATACATATAACATTTCACATTTTCTTTGTAGATTTCTATGCTGCAAACTTATGCATTAAATAGATGGCTTGGTACCAGTAATAATAAATTAATTATGACTTTTAGATTCCGCAAGGGGTCTCACAAGTAAGGACAATGTTTGGTATATTATGGTAATCTATTCAGTTAGTAATTTCGTAAATCTATCGAAAAGGGTACCTATTTATAAAACTGAATTTAACCTTGACGATTAAGAAATCCATGCACTATCATGAAAAGAACTAATGAAATCCGTTTAATGATTTTTTATCTTATCAGTAAGTAGTAGGTAACCTACCAATTTATAGAATAAACATAAAGTAATACGTTATCTAGCCTGACCTGACACCTGGACCGAGTGATTATTTTTCTAGCCAATTTTATTATCTGATGTGTTAATAATTACAATCAGAATAAGCTTAATATGGACTTAATATTAATATCAAATCAAACAATTAGCAAAACAAAAAACGATTGACTATGTTAATTAAAGAAATTAACAAAACAAAAAATGTTAATAGCATTATATTTCAATTAAAGGAGATTGCTCAAATTGGCCCAAATGCACAAAAAATATTGGCATATACGGTAATTCTTGGCGTAATTTATACTTTATTTTACAGTCATTAGATTTTAACGGACACCTTTGTATAATATATTCATTTTAAAAAGGACTTTTAATTTTACCGGTTTGGAAAACATACGAATCATTTTTAATGGCTATGGGTGTAGTAACATTCAGCCCAAAACTGATCGAAGTTGTTTATATAACATAAAATCAAATCTATTTTGTAAAGATCGATAAAAAAAATTTTTTTTTATTACACTGTGGTATTAATATCCACAACTATAGTATCATTTTCACTGCATGCAAATGTGCTAAGACAATTATTATAGATGGTAGGCGACATCATAAAATCTATTGCCATACCTTTTTCGTCAAACACCTCCATAAACACATTATAAGGTGTGATACACTAAAAATCTAAAATATGGTTATAATATAAACATAACAAAAATAATGAAGCTACTGAAGATATGGCTGTATAACCTAAATCTCTTAGCTTTCTTTGGTTAACGAGAGTTTAAAAAATCTCTTGATGTTGAGAGAATGATTTCGGTACTTGGCTTGATTTCCCTAGTTTACTATATAACTTATTTGTTTTTTATTATTTTAATACGTACCTATTTGCAAACATAACCTCAAAATTGTTCAGTGTATATGGTTTATAGAAGTTCTCAGGGGTGTCCGTCAATAATATTCGTTTCTACAGTAATTTATATATAATTTCGAATCCAGGAAACAATTTTTCATGATTATTGGTCTTTAGGCCGAACATGTATGGAAGCTGAGCAATCTCCTTTCAAACTCAATAATCTTGAGTCCATGGACATTGAACCCACTCCTTTAAATAATTTATAACTGGCATAGCAGCCACTTAGTTCTCGTTTGGGTTGTTAATGTTTTCGTAAATTAATAGTTTAAAGTTCGTGTTTTAAAACTTAGATTATAATTATAATAGGTTTTGAAATGTGACGTCACGAAATTTAGGACCCCCTCCCACCCCTTTGTCACACGATGTCACACTTCGTCGACCCCCTCCCTCTCCCTTAATGTGTGACGTAATTTATGGATAGCCCCTAATCGGAGACCGAACACGCTATCCAATATATCTTCGAGATACTAGATACATTTTGAGTAGCATAATATAAAAAAGTATCTTTTCTATATTAGGTCAAGCTGCTTGGTTGTACCTCTTAGGTACTTAGGCGGGCCATTATGCTTGTTTACCACCGCTTTTACGTAAAAACAAGCTGTCATCAACCTGTAAGCGATATTTTCTAATAGGACCATAAATTTATGTGTCCTTTTATTGCAGCTGGTTAATCATTGCAAGCATTTACTGGACGTTGAATTTGGACGCAGTTCGGATGGCACAGTACATATTCAACGAAAGGAGACTGACTTGGAACAGAAATATTTTCTAGGAGACAGCCCAACGGTAAGGGATTTTTTTATGGATTATCAACTCATTTAATGACTCTTACACAGCACCCTGATCAAATATCTGAAATGGTAGGTTAGAAGCATGAAATGACTATGCACTGTTGTTACTGTGACTACGATTTGCGCAGACAGAATATTTTTGTTCCTTTGCCTTATCGTAATATTTACTAAGTCCACCACTTCAAGACACTGCACACACGACAAGAAAGTCTTAACTGCTGGGGTACAGCATAGGGAGATAGGGCTATGAGCAGGGCCGGATCGACCATATGGCTTATTGGGCTTCAGCCCAGGGCCCCGTGGATTTAAGGGCCCCCCAGCTAAGTCAAGTCAAAGTCAAAAATAGACGATAATCCGAAAGAATCCATAATATAATGTAAGGAGTAATTTAAACAATTGGCCAAAGGAAAGTGCAGAAAGTACTCAGGGGCCCTATGTAGGTAGTATTAGTCCAGGGCCCCCTAAACTCACAGTCCGGTCCTGGCTATGAGCCACCACGCGGGCCCAATGCCGATTCTAGGTCCTAATGACTGCTACCGGGACCAACGGCATAGCATAACTTCCAAAGCCATTGCGAAAGTTACTTAATTTCCACGATCCCGACCAAATGTGCCATCACTTGCCCTATCGAACTACGATTAATGTGGATGCAATATTTGGATTCTGCTTGTCTTATCTTCTTAACCAAGTACACCTCAAGACACTACACGACAAAAAAATCTTACTACCTAATACTTATTTTTTTCTCCACCAGTCTGTTGATGCTGTGTACTTCAATGGAATATCGAAGAAAGGTGACGCAGTCATATGTGGTTTGGCTAGAAGACCTAACCAAGTTTGCGATGCTTTTCTAATGATAAAGGTAAATTTTGAACGTTTTATTTACTACCTAAGTATAGCGAAAGGGTGCGGCCAGAGTGCACTCAGATTCAGATTCAGATTCAGATTTCGAAAACAAGCGCGAGAAATAAACAGTGTAGTCGAAGGGTGCGGCCAGAGTGCACTCAGATTCAGAGTCAGATTCAGATTCTGAAAACAAGCGCGAGAAATAAACAGTGTAGTCGAAGGTTACGGCCAGATTGCACTCCTGATTCAGATTTAGATTCAGACTCAGAAAACAAAGCGCGAGAAAAAGCAAGCAACCTGCTTAGACTACACTGTTTATTTCTCGCGCTTGTTTTCGAAATCTGAATCTGAGTCTGAGTGCACTCCTGATTCAGACTCAGATTCAGACTCAGAAAACAAAGCGCGAGAAAAAGCAGGCAACCTGCTTAGACTACACTGTTTATTTCTCGCGCTTGTTTTCGAAATCTGAATCTGAATCTGAGTGCACTCTGGCCGCACCCAAAGGGTTTTGCTTTTTATAACGATCGGTCAGTGCAACGGTAGCGATCCTGACTTCTGCACTAAGTGCCCTGGTTTGTAATCTCGAAGTAGCATTTATGTGTGTGATGGAACACAGCAATACCTTATATCTGTGATTTAGCTTTGTTAAGTATGGAAACTTATTCGTAAAAGTTCGCCTTAATACCTACTTAAACTAGAAAGTTAGTTTTTTTTCTAGTAAACTTTTCTTTAGTTTTAAACATCTAGCAGTTAAATGCTTAAAAAATAAATAAAATCATAACTTTAATTGCTATTTCTTCTTTCAAATGTTTTTTTTTACTTGAAAAAGTATTCATTTGACATTGTGGGTTACCTACAATGCGAAGAGATGGCGCTGCCTTGCAGCTTAAGGCTAGGAAAATTTCGACGCGGCTAATAGGGCCGTGGTAGCATAATGGTCAGTGCATTCGCCCGGATAGCGAAGGATGCGGGTTCGAGTCCCGTCCGCTGCCTGGTCCGCGTGGATTTTTTTCTAGTAAACTTTTCTTTAGATCATTATGCTTGTTATGTAATATTATATTTCAATCTACCTATTTACCAAAATTTATAAATTTAACAGCAGCTGTAAATTTTATTTTAACCTCTTTTAGGTTGATGATGAAGAAATGCTGCTATCTCCCTGTCTTCCAGACACTTATCAAGAACAAAGTGGATTGGAAATTGGAGACTACATAGTACAGGGGCTGACGATTCAGAAGATGATACCCATGCGGGCATGGAATGTCTCATACAGCGGTGAAATGAAGTAACTATTATTTTTTACTTATTACAATGGTTGGTGCGTTCAGTCTGCGATCGCAGAATTTAAACTAATTTCGCATTGGCCCGGTTATAGGAAGGGTGATTAAACATTTATTATCATTAGCTCCTCCATGCTTTGAAAGACACGTTAGGGGGAAATCCATAAATTTCGTGAAGTGTTTTTTATTAAAATTTTCTGTGACGCTATGAGCTAGAGCGGACCGCTCGTGCACAGTTTGCCGAGTTGTAGAACTGTCTTCTATGCATGTGTAAAGTAAATTTTGATGTAAACATATTTTAATAAACTTTTCTGCACTACAGGCCTTATTTGTATCAGGTACCTTAATATAAATTGTCATTCATAAAAAAAATATAAATATTGTATTCTACCACATAAATGATAGTACTTTTATGCTGGTAATTAAAGCAATTCGTGCAAAATTATTCCCTAACCATTCCAAAATATCAAAAAATTCACAACGTTAATATTCAAGTTTTCACTTCTGCCGGCACTCACGGAGTGCAACCCGTCGTTTTTTTTATTTTTTAAGCATGTAGCAGCAGACAGGGCTAATTCTTATTTCAAATGTTTAATACTTGTAAAGGTATGCATTTGACATTGTGGGTTACCTACAATGCGAAGAGATAGCGCTGCCTTTCAGCTTAAAAAAGGCTAGGGAAAATTCGACACGACCACAAGGGCTGCGGTAGCATAATGGTCATTGCATTCGCCCGGATAGCGAATGGTTCGGGTTCGAGTCCCGCCCGCTGCCTGGTCCGCGTGGATTTTTTTTAGTAGTTTTCTTTAGATTTATACATCTTTAGTCTCTTTTTCTTTTAAGTATTAAAGTAAGACAAAGGTATAGATGAAAAGAGATTCCAAGGAGGTTCGATCAAAATAAAAAAAAACCGTAAAGGATACGCACGGCGCCATGTATGGGAGCGTCCGGTAAAATGTTTTACCGCACGCTCCATTGTATGTCGCGTAAATTTGTCATTTCGAACAATGTATACAAACTCCGTGCATTTTATGAGCTTTGAAAAAGTAATTTTCGCAACGGCCGGGCCGGATATTGCATGGGTGACTTAAAACTTATTGTCACGAGTTTCTCCGGGCTTCGGAAGGCACGTTGAGCCGTTGGTACCGGCTGCATCTAAAGTTCTTAGCACTCACAAATCCACACTGGAATCACGTGGTGGGTCACGGTCCAATATCACTATTCCATCCATAGGGAAGGCCTATCCCCCAGCAGTGGAGACATTAATATGCTGAAGATGATGATGATGACCCACTTAATTATCTTACCTATATGTATATTTGATTTTAAAATAAAATGAGATTTATAAAGTTTACTAGAAAAACTACACTCGGACAAACTAATTCCGCTGTCTGCGGTGTATACACACTTGCACAAGTTCGACACCTGCCTGATACCTGGACAAAGTAGATTGTCCTCTCATTCTTTTTTACATGAATTACTTATACATACTATATTTTTTTTTCAGACTTCGTAGTGATCACGAGAAAAAGGTCAAGGTACAAATGGACCTAACGTGGAGTTCCATATGGGGCTCCTTTAACTATGACACGCAGATGTCCGCGCGCAGCATGGCCAATGACATCGCGCGTGAGGAGTGGTCCGGCGGATACTTTGAGCTGTTAAAAAGGTTTGTTTACTTGATTTGTTGTTATTAATAATATTCAAAAGGTTTTAGGGCTCCACGGAGTAGAGGATTGGGTCAGGGTAGGCAACGGTGTCAGTGATACAGAAGAATATTAATAGAAGAAAAAAAAATGTTTTGGTAACTGATGCTCATCTTATAACTTTTTCAGATTTCATCAAACCCACTACGAGCAAATGGGCTTCTTCAAAGGCACAATAACCATTGATGACAGAGTACACACAATTAACATGCCGTGTGTGCGCGATCATAGTTTCGGTAAATGATTTATAATTAAACTACCTGTAGTGATGTTAGTAATCTAGCTATTAACTTAAATTACTATAGTACTTACTTTTGTTTGTGTTGCAGGACCGTTTCGCGATTGGCGCACGTTCCATCGTTATGTATATCATTTTATTTTCCTTGAGAATGGTGATTGTATGGCTATAGGCGCGGTATCGCAACCAGCAATATTGTCACAGTAAGTTTTGAATTATCTTCTATTCTAGGACATTCAGTTCAGGCTTTTTGTACTTATAGTTCGCAGGCACCCAAGATAAAAATTCAACGATAGCCTAATTGTGAATTTAATTTAGGACACCAAAAGCGATAATTCAAGTTAACACAAGTCTCAAACTCTCTTTATTAATTTTAAGCCTTATCTTAAGCTACATAAATCTCAAAATCTGTTTGAGAAGTGGGCCAGTTTTGGCAACTCGACCTGTTCCGAGTTCTGACCATAGAAGAAGGAATCAAAAAAGAATGTGATGTAAATGTGTTGTGATGATAGCCCCCTTTCTCGTGTGACGCAGTCCTTGTCCTTATCATTAGAAAGTGGTTATGAAATAAAGAAAGCACTCCACTAACTGATTATTGCCGTTGGATGATTGGGGATGATGACGGGGTAAATTAAATGAAATTCTTTAACATTATCAAAAATTATATAATTATCAAAACCAAAAAATTACAATAATAAAGTGCGTCAAAGGTTGGGAGTGGGGGCTCGTGACTTCAGTTCTAAGTAAAAACTCTACCAAGACGTGACGTCATGCGACATTTAAAATTAGTATAATTATGTACCTTAGTATGTAATGTTTCGATTGTGTGAATAAAGAACAAATATGTATACTTATTCATAATCTACCTGATAGTAAAAGTTATTCATCATCCCTATCGTGTTTGCCTCGATGAAACATGTAAACGAATATTCTGACAGCTTCAATATATTACAGCCTCACAATCGGATACTTCTGCCGGCACTCGGATCAAACGGTGCATCCGATAGATTCCTGTGACTTCCACCTTTACCAACACGGAGAGCAACAAGTACTCCCCAAAGACTACGGATTCGTTTTTAAAACAGGTAAAATCGACAGGAAGCATGTACTAATAATAATAAGTAAATTTAATAACCAATTTTTGTTAAGAACTCGTGAAGATTTTTCTAAGCGATGGCTCGATATGGCAACTTGTCGAATGTAACTAATTGTAGTTGTTGATGAATTTTAATTTTCTATATAACTAAGCTCATAAAGTCGGATTTCCACTAATAACAAGTTTAAAACCTAAAACCATATCTCTCAGAGCCGCCTTAAGTTTAATACTTGTCGAAGTGAGTATTATCAAAGGAAAATCGTCATTCGTCGGCTTTAATCAAAGTCAAACACAAAAATGTATTACCTTTGAAATTGAATGCAGCCGTAACACTGGTAAAATTTTAATTAATTTCTTTTAAAGATGGTCAACTACATTCGGTCCGAGTTCTGGTGAATGACGAGGAGACTTTTTATATCGGTAAAGACAGAGTGGCGAAGTTCTACGAACGTTGGTGCGACGTTGAAGTGAACGGCGTCAAAGGATGCGCCTGCGTCGAGTGGCAGTACAACAACTTACAACCGCCCAAGCATGTCTAATAGGCGAAAATGTATCACTGTTTAACCGCGAATCAAAGAGGCGAATATCACTGTTCAAAATTTTCCGAAACTAAAGTCGTTAAACTACCTTGCATGATAAAGTTGTGTATATTGTGTATTTATTTTATAGGGTAATTAATGAAAAAGGTTAGAATTGATAAAAAAAAACAAAAGTGCTAGCGAGAAAAAACTATAATTAGCGTAACATTGCACTAAGTTTACACTTATGTTTAAATATGAAACAGCAAATATAAGAAATCACATTGTTGAAAGAAATTCAATTGAAGCTAATGAATGACCATGAAGCGAAATTATTCGATTTAATTTGAATCAATTTGTAAAATTAATTATGTGTAAGTAAGCTATTACATTTTCGTAATGCATGTCTATTAATAAAATTAGGTACTATTAAATTAGTAGATTTCATTTTGTATAAAAATAATATTTTTACAAACTTTTTTGATAATGGTACTGCGTTATTTTGCTTTGATCAAAATATATTTTTTTACATTTAATTTAATAAAATTAAATAATAAAAAGTAATACTGTCTTTTACTATAACCAAATATGTACTATTTGGTTTTACAGTTTTCCTATATACCTATATTTGTGACTAGTAACAATGTTAAAAATGATATGATGATAATAAAATGATAACAATGTTTTAAGAAATCTAATTTTAAAATTACATCAATGAAAAGTCCTTACTGAAAATCAGTGCGAGGTACTCAAACCTCCGATCTCTATAAAGTACTCGTACCTATAGAAAAATTAGTTTTCTTTTTTCTGGAGAATCAGCTAATTACAAGCAGCCTTATTTTGTAACAGATTGAAGGGAAGGGCTCATGAAAGTCTTAACGCCAAAGAAAACGGCAAGATGAACTAAACAAATATATATATATATATTTCAATCATTCACACCAATTAGCCTAGCCCCAAAGTAAGCACCATAGGCTTGTGTTATGGGATACTAGGGTCACGGAAATAATACATATACAGTACATATATAAGTATATTTGTATAGAAATACATATTAAACATCCATGACTGGGGTACAAATGCTCGTATTCATCACACAAACATCTTTCCCCACCGGGATTCGAACCCGGGATCTCTCGAGTAGGCGACACCATGAAACCCGGCGTACAAACCACTCGGCCGCGGCGATAGTCCATATCATAACATAATTATAATTGATGTCGTCCATAACATATTAATTGATGACTATGATAACGACCGTTAGTCCTATAAAATATACATTTGTTTAGATTTTTAACAGCTAATCACTTTCATTGGTATAGCAATCGCACCTTACATATTTTTTACACAAGTACTACTTAGGGTGCTTCTACACGGTGCAAGTAACTTGTGCATGTTGAGGCACTTGCGCAGGTTATATGCATCGTGAAAACTTTAACTTTACTAATGACATTACTGCTTTATTATAACGTCAGAAATCTTGTCTCGAAAAGCGTCGATGGTTATGCAATTTTCTCTTTAGTTACACACTGTAAATGACACAAAAGTTAGGGTATATGCCAGCTGTCGTTCTATTAAATGGTCCCTCTAGAAAAATGCGGGTATGTGTACATTGTCTGAAAGCAATTTACATGGTAATTATTTTATCAATATCTCTTCGAATATATCGTTTAAATTGTTTTACATAAAAGTTGTAAATTTATGATTCAAACGCTAAAATGACATTATAGCAATTAACTGAAAACGTCTAGATATTTTCGAGTTGTGTATTTATTGTACAGATGACTAAGGCGGTCTGTCATTTATGGGCGATAATTTTAGGAGCTAGACTTCTAAACTTTATAGAATTTCGTCCAACTAATTAGCATCGTAGTCAAGGGATTGTCGAAAGAAGTAGCAAAATACCAACTTCATTAAAAGTACATTTTTGAAATATTTACAAGTTATTATTACCTCGTTAGAACTAATGACCAATCGAACTATTCTTTAATTTCGTACGTAGAGGTTTGCTGTGACAAACTTACGACCAGTTTCAATATCCAATCTCCAGTAAAAAGTAAGTATAATCTGGTTCCGTTTTTAGAAACAGTTGTTATTAACACGCTTTTACTAGGTTCACTTGTATGTAACTAACTATGTAATGGAATCTATGAATCTGAATTACACAAACTTCTAATTCTTGTATCATCATGAAACTTGGCAATTATACAGGGTGTAAAAAAACCTTTAACGATGTCGAAAGCCACGTATTTTCCACATTATGCTGTACCCCTAGCACGAACCATTATCGAATTCAAATAGTTTGCAAACCGAAATTTCAATGTCAAATTTTGTATGGTAACTTGAACAGCAGCGGCATAAAGTACGTAACGAGAACTAAAAATCAGTACACATTTGACAATGACATTTCGGACTCGCTAATGTTACGAATTCGATTTTGGTTTGTGCTAAGGATACTGATCATTTTTTTCTTCTGGACCATACCTGGGTTTATGGTTATGGAGATATTGAAGGTCAAAGTATTTTTTTTTCAATATTTATACATTGATATTTTCAAAACGTTATTTAAAAACTTTTTTAACGACGCTATTACACACACGCACACATACACACAAGCACATTCTTTGCGTAGCGCCACAGTAGCGCGCCGCGCTCTACATTGCGTACTGAAAAAAAAATGTATTTTTTTAACTTAAAGATACAAATTTTTCCCACGTATATTAATTTGTAATATTACTTGTTTGGGTGTACAGAATGCGTAGTTTTAGTCTTTGTCATAGGTTTTTTACACCCTGTATGTAGATGACATGACAATACAATATTATGGTACCATTGAGCTGGTCTGATGATGGAACTGGAAGGTGGCTGATGGAACCTTGGACTGTCTAGTAGTAAACATATCGAGTTTGGGCTTATTAGATTCGCCTTAACATATTCTATTCATTTTTCGTGATGTCGAGGACTTGATGATGAACTGAAAGGTGGATGATGGACCCTGGACTGCCTACTAGTAAACAAATCGAGTTTGGGCTCATGAGATTCATCTTAACGTAATAAAACTTTGCAATTATATGTAGATTAGATAACAATTCAATATTATGCTACCATCGAGCTGGTCTGATGATGGGCCTGGAAGGTGGCTGATGGAACCTTGGGCTGCCTACTAGTAAACACATCTAGTTTGGACTCATTAGATTCGCCTTAACATATTCTATATTTCTCCTGATGACGAGGACTTGCCGATGGACTGGAAGGTCCTGATGGACTCTGGACTGCCTACTAGTAATCAAATCGAGTTTGGTCTCATGAGATTCGTCTTAACATAATAAATCTTTAACCTTGGTTAACTCATAGTTTACACTAGAGCCCAGAAATAGCGACAACTTGATGAATCCATATTTTTTTGTCTTAATAATAAAACTATCTTGGCGAAGAAACGCTCTACCAGACCTATCCCTTAATAGAGTTTGATTATTGAAACTGTCCGTTAATGAATCGAATCATGGAACGCAACTAAAACAACCTGTATACATATATATATATATATTTTTTCATAAAATGTCACGCTACTATCTAATTGTGCAATTATGAAACATAAATTGATTCAAATATATCTACTTTAAGGATCTAAGATGTACTTTTAACGGATAATAATTCCAAAAAAAAATATGTTATTTATCAATTTGCGCCATTTTAGCTGTTCGCCCTATTTTAATTTACACAATTTTTAAGTTTCTCAAGTAACTCAAAATTCGCAGTGTAAAATGCCCATAATAATATGATGAACTGATTTAGTTTATAAAACTATATTAGTATTTTTTTAGTTAGTAATATTTTATGCGTCATTCATAAGTTATGGAAGACTGATTGATTTTCTCCTCCCGTTGAATACAAGCAAAAATATTTTGTGATCCAATAATATTTGATTTAGATGATAATAGACACACTTCAATAGACAAGTTTTTACGCAATCTTTTATGTGGATAGTATAATAAAGTTAATTTTACATAAAACTCCAGAGGACATACTTTATAATAAGAAAACAAGAAAATAAGATTAACTTAAATATAAAAAACTTTAGTGATAATATCATGATATTTATATGACTTTATATTATGCTTTATATATAATGATTTTTATTATATTGAAAAAATATGAGTACTGTTTAAGATTTTTAAATCCTACTTAATTTCACACTATCTAATTTCAACACTCCACGTGCGGCTGTTTATGTCGGAAAATTTTGAAGCTAATTATTGTTGTATTTTACCGAATATTCACCCATGCGCTCTATATTATCGAAATTTTAAAAACATGCATTGGCATAGTTTACTACGGGGGTGTAGTTACTGATGGTACTGAACTTATTTTGGTCAATGATATTTAATATCCTAGATACAACAACACGAACAAAATCTTGGCCGAATCCTGTACATTGGACGATCCACGGAGCTCTGTAAGATGATGACGTAGTCAAATCAACATAAGGCATTATTTAAACACTAGCAAACCAGTGAACCAAATGTTCACCAAAAAAAAATGTATTTAATTAATTGAGAACTTCGGAGATTTTGTGTGCTTTCGTTTGAAATAGAAATCACGTGATTTCTCGAAAACTGGAAGTGCTACGTTACTCACATCCGGTTTGTAGTCTTGTCAGACTATTCTTAACTTATAACTTGAACATTCTCTAAAACAGCACCACGGACGGACGGACGGACTTGTCTATTAGATAAGAGATTCAAAGTCACCTTTAAAGCATACTATATAAGGTCTTATTTTTAAACGCATGCGTCATAGAGTTATAACTGTTCGAAATGCAAGATCGTAAAATTTTACGACTTGTTGCTATAGGCGGAAGAATATCTATAGACCTTATTTCCAAATTCATAATTCAATATCTTTGACTCTATGCGTAATATTGAATGCGCTGTTAACAATATAGCAGGTATGGAGCGCGAGGAAATGACACGAATGTATAAGACCATGAATTTGAAAATTACAAATATTTTTTTATAAAATCAGTTTATAGTAAATATTAAAACAAAACTTGCTTTAAATGCTTTAAATTAACAAACATTGATAAGATATCTGTCGAAAAAACGACTGCGAACTATAAGTATGTTTTTCGTATTTTTCCTCGGACCTCTGCGGCATCTTGACTTTACCACGGTCCGCGTGTGATTTTTAACCAAGAAGTGTTTGAGTGTTGTTGAAGCACTTCTTGATTGGGACACATTTTGAGCGCACGTGGTGTATCTAGGATTTTTTATTTATCGTTGATTTTGGTACCGAAATAATTATCTTCATTGGAAACTATTAATTAACTATTGTTAACTTAATAAAAAATTAATTCCGTTTCGACTATAGCTTGTGGAGTGTCTTACTATCACACCTACTTAGCGAAACGCTATTTCGCACTATACTAAACAGTTTTTGATTGGTCTTTAATTGACAGTCGATTGCGCCAATCAGTAGATACTATTACACATTTATAGTTAGTTAACAGCATAACAACGACTTGAGTCCTTCAAAACTTTACAGTATCAACTGTCTAAGACATATACATTAAGTCAATAAAATATGTTTATATACTACACATTATTTTGATGGCAGTACAATTATTTGTTTTCTACAGATTTAGATCACAAGTACCTACTTAATACCAATACCTATGTCTGCTGCTTAGGTTTATCCAAAGCCGAATTCTTACTTTAGGCTTTGATATAGTCCACCAACGGGACGACACGACATAGACATGGCAAAGGATTTTGTAATATAAAGACAAATAATTTGGATACTTATTGAAATGCGATTAAGACTCAATTAAGTCTGAGCAAATGATGAAACTTTTTTCACTAATATCATAAAATGCTGCGTTTCCACTTAATGCTTAGAATAATGCTGAGCGAGAAAACGTTTGTTTGCTCGGTAAATGGAAAAATCAGAGTTAGCGAACGAGTTCTTCCAACGATGTTTGACTGCTGGACCTAGTGAACGAATGCTCTCTTGCTAAATCATCAATGAAAACAACGCAACTTTTTTTTTGTGTTTTAAATACAATTTAAGACAATTAAAGAAATAAAACAAAACAATTAAGTGTGGTACACATAACCACGCTAAAAATTAAAGTTTAAACAAAATCATGATTCATAACGACATGCAAAATTTAAATTTAACATGCAAACGTATGATTATTATTATCATTAGAAAGTCATACCACTTCCCCATTTGAGATCAAAAGTTTTCTCAAAAGTCAATTGTGAATACATGTCAAGTACTCTATCTGGATTCTTTGCACCAATCAAGAGATTATGTAATGATTTAAGACTATAAAACATGACTGTTTCGCGTCATCAAGAGGTGCGTATTTACGCGCCACGGTATTTTCCGAATGTTCCATGGATCTCTCACCTATATATCACAAGCATTAAGAATTCCAGTGATATGAATAGTAATACATCTGTTATTAATATTGATGTATTCACCATCAATAGAGAATCTATTCTCCTTGTCAATATCATAAGTCCTGAAACTCATGAATAATGTGCGGATCTCATCTCTTCCCGCAACAGTCGTAAACCGTATCCTGTGGGCCACGGCTATCGCTCTGATTATTTCAGAGATCGCAACATATTGATGACCAACCAATGGTTGATGTTTAGTTGTCCAATTAACATAGTAATCACCCTCAGCATCACGAGCAACGGGTTCAACTCGCATTGCTGCCGGTCTAGAAGCAGCTGCGGTGACAGCATCATGCATACTCTGCATGGTTCTGGTGAAATGATCCATTTCAGTATCCAAATTATTTAATGCATTTGTTTGCTCGGTTAACATGCGCAACTGATCCTCATTCATCTTCTTTTTTAGTTCTTTATTCTCCAAACGTAACGCTTCAACGGTAGCAGTAAAATCTTTTATCTTACTACTAGCAATACGTAAGTCTGGTGGTATAGTAGGTTTAAAACCCAATCTTCGAGCAAAAGATGCTAAATTACTATCAGTTGATGATGATGAAGATGATTGTTTTGCAATACCACTAACAGATGGTGATGCGATTGATCCCTCTACTATTATCACTTCCGCTACAGGAACTGGTGTAGATGCTCTTCTTGTTGGTGGTTTCCTAGTTCTTTCTTCAGGTGAATGACTGATAGACCTAGGTCTTCGCCCTATTACGACTTCTACCACGTCTAGGAGTTATTGACGCTTTCCTACTTCTGGTTTTTGCTAGTTGTTTTGTTGTTTGTGAGTCTCCCTCCTCGTCAATAGTGTTACGAGGCACCGTCGGATCAATTTTGACTACACTTGGAACGCCGTTCTAACCGCTTCGACGTAACGCTCGTAATGATCAAATCGACCTTCAGGTCCTAAATTATTACTATTATTTAAGAGTGTTAAAATAAGTAATGCGTCAGAGTGAGAGATCACACCAGCAGAAGCACAGGACACTATTACATTGATTGATGATTCCCTGTCACCTTTATCATAGATATCAACATTTATACATTCTATGCAGTAAATTTCCTTTTCCATATTATTGTTATTGTTTTTAACATTTACCAAGCTAACATATGATAGCTTGCTCAAAATTGTTCTAAGAGTTTAGTGGAAACGCAGCATTATACAGGGAAAACGAATAGTTGTATTTATTTCTTTTTTAATCAAAAAGATGTTGCGGGTAACATTTAAATTCTATTGATTGAGTAATCATGTACTTGGGTTACCCAAGGACTTTCAAAAGATTGAGCATCTAAATTATTTGAGTTTCACAAATCCTGCAAGCAAGAAGTATAGCAATATACTTCTTGCTTACTCGTGCAGTGTTGGTGTTATAGTTCTTTCCGACAATAGGGGCCGTACTTTTGTCTCATATTACGATATAACTGTGTTAATCGAAGCGAGATACTGAGACTTTATTTGAATACCAGTTGAGGCAGTGGCAGCAATCCAGCATTAGTATCAAAGGTCTACCGACGAAAACTAATGTTCGATTTACACTTAAGTAGCCACAGCGCATTTTCACGCACTCTAGCATGCTCGTGCAGCCTGCAGTCTACGGAAGGCGAGAGTGGGTTTTCTACGCTATATCGAATGCCAGTTCATTGGCTTAGATTAAAACAAAAAGGGTAGATACGGTACGATCATATTAGCATCAAATAAAATATGATCCGACTCAACACATAAGCAAATCTCACACACGCACACGTCTGAATATAAACATTCATTCGAGCGAGCGAGACAGAACTATACGCTTCAACGCAGCGTATTGCTGTCCTTTTCTTGATAACAATATTCTAGCATTCACGACAAACCGTGACTTTTGAGAGAAAAAAGTTTTTACAGTTTTACGAATGAAAAGTGTTAACGTGGCATTTGTTATTTGATTTTGAACTATTTGTGTTCTATATAAAAGCATTGAAGGCTTCGAATCGAATCTTCATAACACAGAATATATGCAAGATTGTTATATTGAGTGCACATGCTGCGTGTTTGAATGTCCAACTGTGGCTAAAGCGAATTATGGTCATGCACCACAATTTAAGCGGATCACTTTTGAGCCGCGAGTGCCGTATCTTCCCTTTTTGTTTTAATCTAAATTCATCGGTGACAATTAACCGAAAACCCGATATATTGATTTGCCATTTGATTGAAATTTTAATAAATCGATTTTCAATAGATCGCTGTGATATTAAATCTTAATTTCAATTAATGGATTTTCAATAGATCTTGTGATATTAAATCGAAATTTAGAATCCAAGTAAAGAATCACAAGCTTCGATCAACAATTCTATAGATAACGGGTCAGTGGGTAAAATAGCCCCACTTGAGACGATTCTCTTATCTTATTTTAAATTACTTCGGTTTATACAAAAGGAAGTAACTCGCTGGCCAATAACTGGTAAAAATATTTTATTATGTGGGTCATAAGGTTGATTTCATATTTTCATTTTTAAAACTTTATCGTTTTTTTCCAAGTATCAGCTATATTTATAAAAGAAACAAGAGTACGTTTTATAGGATAAAAGGTATGTGCGAAATAACATTTTGTTAATTAGAACCTTATTTCTTTGTGAGATAGTTGTTATTAGGTTCAACTTAAAACATTTATCTTTGTTCATTGGAAATCAAATGTAGCTGCATAAGTTTAAACATACGCTTTACGCACATTTTTAGGTTTGATTTTGTATGCAACCCGTTATCTATAGAATTGTTGATCGAAGATTACAAGGGATGACTGAAACCAATTTTGAATCTGGAAAAATTATATCTCGTAAAACGTCTAATGGTAATGTAATTATATCCAAACTGCCGCCAATATTTCCATCTGGTTTATGGTCAATATCAAGCAATGAATTTACAAAGGAGTCAGAATAACGCAGAAGCTTGGCATCGACGATGGAATACGCTACTCGGTATACGCAAAAACAAGGACTGTAAGCACAATTTAACATTTTCGATCAGAGAGCAGATGCATGAGGCATTCGATCTTATAAGTTTTTGATCTATTAGTATAACGAGCTAATGATCCATCATCATCAGCCTATTAATGTCCCGACTGCTGGGACACAGGCCTTCCCTATGGATGGAATAGGGAGATTGGGTCATGACCCACCACGCGGGCCCAGTGCGGATTGGTGGGTGCTAACGACTGCAGATACAGCCGGGACCAACGGCTTAACGTGCCTTCCGAAGCACGGAGGAGCTCGAGATAGTAATTTTTTGGTCACCCATCCAATGACCGACCACTGCGAAAGTTGCTTAACTTCAACGATCGCAGCCGAACGCGATAACCACTTGCGCTATCGAGCTCCTCTTGATCTATCAATTATTTGTAATTCGATCAAATAGCATGTCGTTATATTGGGTTTTCGGTTAATTGTAAGCGATCAACTAGCATTCGATATGGCGTAGAAAACCCGTCGAGAGTAGCCGAACGCATGCGTGAGGAGCCAAGCGGCTGTCTTAGCCGGCTTCATTGCTACAGTGCTGCTTAAATTGCATGCAAATATATTATGGATATTTTAGTCTCCTTCAGCAAATTGTAAAATGCGCTGCGCTCCGATGCGCGCCGCTAAGTGTGAATCGTACATTATAGGTTATTGTCACAAATACTAGTAATGCATCGTAGAACGAAACATCTTAGTTAGTCTGTAACATACATTCTCACTTTCCTTTACGACTTTTTTAGCCATCCAAAAGACTTGGCTTAATATATTTTATGTCTCTAATAAATAGTTATTGCATCGCCTTAAAAGATTATGTGGTTAGAAGACCCCTGGAATGAATTCCACGACTAGAATCAATTCTAAATTACAGCACCTAGTTAATAAATAGAAATGTTCATAACATTTCTCGAGACGGCTAGTTTAACACAGCGAGCGTTAAGGCAGGAAATGTATACAAGTACTGTAACAAACACATTTATATTATGACTATTATAGTACACATTATAAAAGCTCTTTTTTAAACTTTAGCTGACTAGTCAGACACAATTTTCATAGATATTTTATTCTAGAAGATGTAATTAGGCAGCTCCCTTTAAAACATTGTGGCTTGGGCTGTTATGCCAAATTGTCAACATAATAGGAATATCTCTAGCGAAAATGTTATTCTCAGTACTTCCTCTGCAGAAAAGACCAGCTGAGAATAATTCAGTTTAGTGATAAAATTAGAAAAAAACTCAACTATCTTCGCAAGAGACATTGTGAAAATAAAGGTACTTTCCTTAAGAAACTACTGAAGAAAAATTAAGATATACCTACTTATCACTACTTAACATCTCAAAAGAACCCATTACGATATCTGTATTATGCCTACATAAAATAAAATTTATTTCATTGCGATTAATAATTCTGTACTCACATTGAGTAACACAAAAAAGCTAAACTAAATAGTATTTTAATATCATTACTTATTTAATTTCCTTAAAATGTTAGATTTCTAATATTTAATTTCCTTAAAATGTTAGGTTTCTAATAAGCATACAACCATAGTTTTTGGCGGCAACCTAAGTCAGAAGGTACAGTACATACAGCGTTTATTCAATGGGCGCCTGCAATTTAGCAAAGCTACAATAAAAGTTAACGAACTGTACTTTAATATTATTTCAAGATTGACTTGCACATTTTAAACAAACTCTATTTTATTATTTGTTACACCCATTCAAGGATAGTACAAGTCATATAAACTCTTTTGAACCTTAAAAACATATTATACTTGAATCGTCAAAGCTTGGACAGTTCATTGAAGTTAATAGCACGCACAGCGTTTGCACAGTTTTTAACCGAACACTGTCATACGTGGCGTAATCAAAACACGGTCGAAACACGACTGTTTAAAAATTACACACAATAGACATGTGTGTGTAATTTTGCATCCGACCCTTTTTCAGCGCATTATTGATTCTAATTGTTTTATACATCAATGTATATACATTATTATTTTGTAGCACAATATTGTATTAAATTCTTTTAAGAAGTCTAATTTGAAGACGCCCAAATTCAATCACCATACATTATTAAAACTTGATGTAAAGTCAAGTCTTAATTATGATGAACAATTAACTTAGTAATTATAAAGCGCTAAAGCCCACCATCAATAAAATAATACTATTATTATTAGGTATTATGTTCTGAAACATCATAAATTGCACAGCAAAATAATTATCCTAATAAACTATTTTCAAATGAAAAAGGTATAAGGAATAAACTGGACTAGATATAACTAGATACACGTCTTTTGGTTTCGAGCATGGTAGTACTTTAAAGTACGAACAAATAATTGATAAATTAATATTCTGTTCTAAACTAAAACAATATATTTTTTTTAATTTCTAAAACAATATAATTTTTTCACAGTTTCACTGCGGTACTTAAGTACCCCTTACCTTGTTCTTTATAGTAAAATAAACATTAAATGTTCAAAATGAAGAAAATAATAAAATATAATAAAAATACTTTGGAACTTAAATCACTTATTAAAATCTTGTACATACTGTTTTTATAGGTAAATGTTACACTGAAAAATAATATAAAATTAAAAATATATTTTGCTAGATCGCAATAAGTTATTGTGCACATAATTTTAATGATTGCCTTGATATAACAAAATTCATTAAGAATTGCATCAAATTCTTAATGAATATTGCTATATTTTAGTGCAACGTTCACAATTTTTTTTCGTTTAATTTTTCGGCCGTTTCAAAGCAATGTGATAAACATTAAATCCTTAATTCAAAAAGAAGCTAAAATAATAATAAAAACTACAATTTCAAATTTGTAAAAAAAAATCTTTGGTCAAGATCGTTATCTCACGAATACTGCATTATCATAAGAAAAAACGTTTTCGCGCATCCTCACATGTTTTTGGTAAAATCATTGTTTAAGTATATTTATCTAGAACTGTATCTTTTAAAAATCTAACATATGGTTCAAGTCATTTTTTATTTATTTTACAAAGATCCAAGTGCTATCTTTTCATACCAAATGAAGTGGCACAGATTTGGTCCAAAATAAATCATATTATATGCACGATCACAGTCACAGTAGTCACAGATAACTTTGTCGACATACTTAACAAAGTACCAAATGTTATATGTTCAAACGCAATAAAGTGGCACAGATTTGGTCTAAATTAAATCATGATTATTTTGTGCACGATCAAAGCAGTTAGTAGTTATAGACCAGTTTGTCGACATAATTATAGCGTTACTATTGAACGTTACATACGGCAGATGTGCCCGGGGCGTGGTCCAGCAACGCCCTGCGACGTTTTATCCCCTCCAAATACACCTCGCGGTTGAATAAACCGGCCGCCAGGGGTACCCTAAAATGGACATCAAAGTTCATAAAAAAGTATTTTTTTTTCTTTATACTAATATTAGGTCCTCGCATATGAAATTAGCGTTTTGTCGTACTGACCACTTTGATCTGAAATATCTCCACTATAGTTAAGAATTACAAAATTCAAATTTATAAATTCATTTAGCTGGTACATTTGAGTTGCTTTTTTTCTTATTATTATTTTCTTTGGCCGCCGTGTAGTGCCGGCCTAGAATAGAATAGCACTACCCCCTCTCATCCCGTGGGTGTCGTAAGAGGCGACTAAGGGAAACTTCACCTAAGGAGATGGGCAGCAGTATCTCCTTATGCGAACCGGTATACTGCGATCGCCAACCCGCCTGCCAAGCGTGGCGATTATGGCAAAACCCCCCCCCATATGCGAAACAATACGAAACGGCCCCTAGTCCCCGGCGGCCCCGCTATTCCTGGCTACGGTAGCGGCCACGGTAACGGCGGGGCAGGGGGTGCGAAGAATCCCCGGGTAGGACACGGCTACCATAACAACAGAATACTGGCCCTGGCAACCTACAACACGCGCACACTGAGGACCGATGCCAAGATGACAGAGCTGGAAGAAGCTATCAGCAAGTTACACTGGGACGTCATCAGGTTATCTGAAGTACGAAGAGAGGGAGAGGACACGATAACTCTGGACTCCGGTAACTTGCTGTACTTCCGGGAGGGCGTCTGTAGGTGGTGTCGGGTTTATCGTCCACAAGTCCCTCGTCAACAACGTGCTGACCATCGGTAGTGTTTCGAGTAGAGTACCGTACTTGGTACTCAGAATATCATCACGATATTCGATGACTGTCATCCAAGTCTACGCTCCAACCTCGAAACACACCGATGACGAAGTGGAGGCTATGTATGAGGAGATCTCTCGGGCCATGCATAGCCACAAAACCCACTACACGATTGTGATGGGGGATTTCAATGCAAAGTTGGGGAAACGTTGCGGCGACGAGCTGAGAGTGGGGCAATTTGGAGTTGGGGAACGGAACGACAGGGGCCGAATGCTGGCGGAGTTTATGGAGAGGGAGAACCTCTATATGATGAACTCCTTCTTCAGAAAGCCCGTCACCCGCAAATGGACCTGGATAAGTCCCGACGGCAAGGTCAAAAATGAGATTGATTTTATCATGTCGACGAAGAAGCAAATATTCAATGATGTCTCAGTGATCAACGCTGTTAAGACAGGAAGCGATCACCGCATGGTAAGAGGCACATTGAATATCAACGTTAAGCTTGAAAGATCGCGACTGATAAAATCAACGCTCCGACCGGTGCCAGCCCAAATTCAAAACCCCGAGTGCTTTCAGCTAGAGCTCCAGAACCGCTTCGAGTACCTTGAGAACAGCATAGACGTGGACGATCTGAACGACCTGGTGGTGGATACTGTCCGTACGGTAGGGTCTAAATACTTTAAAACCCGCCGTACCAAGTTAAAGAAACTCTCCGCATACACACTCGAAGTCATGGATAAGAGACATGAAATGAGACTACAGGACTCAGCGGATGCATTTCGTTATAGACAGCTTAATAGACAGATCTCGAAGTCGTTGACGAGCGACCTTCGCCACTTTAATACCGAGCGTATTAAAGAGGCCATAGAGCGGAACAAAGGCTCCAAAGTGTTCGCTAGAGATCTGTCTATTGGGCAAAGTCTACTGACGAGGCTGAAAACTAAGGACGGTAGTATCATTTCATCGACTCCTGAAATCCTGAGGGAGATTGAGAGTTTCTATAGGCAGTTATATTCCAGCAGAACACCAGGCGAAAGCAGAGCTCGAGATCCTAGAGCCAAGCTTACCCGACATTATACCGAGGATATCCCGGACGTCAGCCTGTACGAGATTAGAATTGCCCTCAAACAGCATAAAAACAACAAGGCGGTGGGAGATGACGGAATCACAACAGAGCTTCTGAGAGCGAGCGGTACGCCGGTACTTAAAGTCCTCCAGAAGCTCTTCAACTCCGTCATCCACCAGGGCAAAACGCCGAAGGCATGGAGCAGAAGCTAGGTGATTTTGTTCTTCAAAAAGGGTGACAAGACCCTACTGAAGAACTACAGACCCATCTCGCTTCTGAGCCATATCTATAAGCTGTTTTCGAGGGTCATTACGAATCGTCTCGCTCGCAGGCTCGACGACTTCCAGCCTCCCGAACAAGCCGGTTTCCGAAAAGGCTTTAGTACCATAGACCACATCCATACGCTGCGGCAGATTATACTGAAGACCGAAGAGTATAATCGTCCATTTTGCTTAGCGTTTGTGGACTATGAGAAAGCCTTCGATTCGATCGAGACCTGGGCGGTGCTGCAGTCTCTCCAGAGGTGCCAAGTGGACTACAGGTATATCGAAGTGTTAAAGTACCTATACCAAAACGCCACTATGTCGGTCCGAGTACAGAATCAGAGCTCTAATCCTATCCAACTACAGCGAGAGGTGAGACAGGGAGACGTTATATCTCCGAAACTGTTCACTGCTGCGATGGAGGATATTTTTAAGCTTCTGGACTGGAAAGGACTCGGCATTAACATCAACGGCGAGTACCTGACACACCTTCGATTTGCCGATGACGTAGTCCTAATGGCGAAGCCCTTGGAAGACCTGAACACCATGCTCGAGCATCTCAGTGACGCATCCCAGCGAGTGGGTCTTAAGATGAACATGGACAAGACGAAAATCATGTCCAACGCCCATGTTGCACCCGCTCCAGTTAATGTTGGGAACGTTACACTTGAAGTTGTTGACCACTACGTTTACCTAGGACACACAATCCAGTTAGGTAAGTCCAACTTCGGGAAAGAGATCTCTCGTCGAATCCAACTCGGATGGGCAGCGTTCGGGAAGCTGCGGAACATCTTCGCGTCCAAAATACCTCAATGCCTTAAGACGAAAGTCTTTAACCAGTGTGTGTTGCCAGTGATGACCTATGGCAGTGAGGCGTGGTCGTTTACTATGGGTCTCATAGGACGGCTCAAGGTCGCCCAGCGGGCAATGGAGAGAGCTATGCTTGGTGTTTCCCTGCGTGATCGAGTCAGAAATGACGAGATCCGTAGGAGAACTAAAGTCACCGACATAGCTCGAAGAATAGCCCAGCTGAAGTGGCAGTGGGCGGGACACATAGCGAGGAGAACCGATGGCCGTTGGGGCGGAAAGGTTCTCGAATGGCGACCGCGTGCCGGACGACGCTCAGTGGGAAGACCCGCTACAAGGTGGACCGACGATCTGGTGAAGGTCGCGGGAAAACGCTGGATGCGGGCAGCGCAGGACCGATCGTTGTGGAGATCCTTGGGGGAGGCCTATGTCCAGCAGTAGGCTGATATGATGATGATGATGATTATCTTTGGCATCGCTTATTACCGCACAATGAAAAACATGAAATATCGGTATATTTACAAGTTCTACCGTGGCACCAGTGCTGCAGAAACAGCTCGAAGGATTAATGATGTTTACGGCAATGGTGTCGCAAAATAAATTCTGGAAATTTCGACCTTCAGAACCAACCCCGAGCTATTGTGGAAGCGGATCCATCAGAAAGCACTTCAGAGATAGCTCGGGGTAAGTGAAAAAACTGTATTAATCCACTTGAAGCAAATCGGGAAAGTAAAAAAACTTGAACGATGGGTACCCTCATGAATTGAGTGAATCGAACTTGCAAACACGCGTCGACTGCTGTGTTACTTTGCTCAACCGAGACAATATTGAAGGGATTTGAAATGGAATCAATACTTGTGATGAAAAGTAGATACTGTACGATAATTGGAAGCGCTCGTCGCAATGGCTGAACCCTGGAGACCCAGCAAAATCCTGCCCTAAACGAAAATTCTCAGAAAAAGTTACTTGTGAGTGTTTGGTGGACTAGAGCCGGTGTCGTTCACTACAGCTTTCTAAAATCTGGCCAAACTATTACGGCAGATATCTATTGTCAGCAACTGCAAACCATGAAGGAAGAACTAGCTGCTAAACAACGGAGATTGGTCAATCGCTCTAGGCCACTGCTGCTTCCCGACAACGCAAGACAACACTCTGCACAACGAACAACCACTAAGTTAGATGAGCTACAATTGGATTGTCTGCGACATCCACCGTACTCTCTGGACCTTGCTCCAACAGATTACGATTTTTTTCAGAATTTGGATAACTTTTTACAAGGAAAAAATTCAACTCCGATGCGACAGTCCAAACCGCCTTCAAAGAGTTTATTGAATTTTGCTCCCATGCTTTTTTTAGTCAAGGGATCAATGAATATGCGTTGTTTTATTCTTTCTTTTTTTTATTTCTTCGTTAAAACTATCTCATATCCTTTCCAACAAACTATATAGTAAAATTCATCTAAAGCGGTGCAGCAGCCAAGTTTAAGAAAAGATAACAGAGAGACAGCCCGACACGCTTTTAAATTTATAATACATATTAATATTAGTATGAATATAATATTTCAACTTACACATCAGTGCCTGGCCTCAAAGCGGCAGAGAACAGACCCCAAACAGGCTTGTGGTCGCTCGTGCATATAGACTGCACAGAGTTGTAGGCGAGACATTGCAGCCCCGTCGACTGGGGTACTGAGCTGATGCGACGTAGACCTATGGGATAATCGACCTTATGTCAATGTCGTATATAAAGCGATTATTTATGAATGTGGCGAAAATTCGAACTAATGCCGCCGTGTTTGTAAACGTTATATTTTATATGTAATTTACGTAAACAGTGGACTGAACTGTTACTCACATTCAAAAAGATCCTTGTCGCAGTGTAGAACATAGGAAATAATATCAAAGCTCATTGGAGCCTATAGCACGGCCTCGCTTTGTGAAGTATGTATTCTTCATAATTATGACGACCTCCAGTTTTCAAGGTGTCGTCTATTCAAAGGTCCTGAGTTCGATTCCCGGTGGGGCAAAGATTGTTTGATGAAAACGAGTATCAAGACTGAATTTCTGATTTAATTCATTGTAAAAAAACCCGCCAGCAAATCCCAATATTTATCATAATTCAGGCCAGTTATGGCGGAGAGTGTTGTGTTTACATTTCAAATAATGTTATCTGCAGTCTGAGTATCTATTTTCGTAAAGCGGATCCTGTAGCAATCAAATCAGTCGCAAGTTAGTTAATAGGCCTGCCTAGGGTTGCCAACCCTACTATATAATATAGCATCCTACTATATAATGGGAACAAATACCATATTTCAAAAATAAATATATAGTAGGCGAAATTACTATATTTTGCTTAAAGCAGACTTTTGCCAGTAAAAACTTTCTTAAAAACAAAAACTTGATTATTAAGTCATATATCAGCAAAAATATATATTAATTTCAAAAATAAAGTATATATTTTAACCACACTATTTTTTTTTCATTTTCTGCCATCTGCTATATTTTTATAGGTAAAAATTTCGAAAATACTATATTTGATAGAGAAAAAGTTGGTAACCCTAGGCCTGCCAATGAGGGTTTTCTGGAATGGCGGGCGCCAGGTGGTAGCCGTGAGGCGAAAGGTCTATTCATCCGTTAAATCGCATATGTCGTCAATTGTCTATGGATCAATTTAAATACTCATACAAAATACCACACATCACAGTGGCGCCAACTAGTAACGTGAATTTTCCTAAACACCTTCTTTGCTTGGATCGGAAACTGATTATGCGGAGGAAAAGGTAACGACCCGCTACTTCCATTTCCTTCCATGCTTGTTTTATGTTAACCCCGTGTCGCCGTCGTTTAATTCTTGACCGAGCGAGTTTCATTGCCGATAACAAAGCGGTACAGACTTTGAAAAAGAAAGAAACTTATTGAATAATTGATATTTTTCCTTGGGTCGACATCCAGTCGTGTTTTGGAATTACAGTTTATGGTTTTATTATACTTTTAATAAGGTTTTAATTTGCTTGATTTTGATATGTGTGAACATATGTTTACTAGAAAATGTTCAACCTAGCTGAGGTATCAGGCTCCTCTACTATATAGAAGAAATTCGTCACGTCCGCTAGGGTCAGTTCACACCGGGACGCGAAGATACCGAAATAGGCCAGTAATTTCATGATGCGCAAAAGCGCCGCTCTTGTATGCCGCGCGTACCGGCGATGCACCGCTGCGTCGCGATTCATCGCTCTACAACGATTAATAAATAAATATTTCCAACACACACACCAATTAGCCTATCCCCAAAGTAAGCACTATAAGGCTTGTGTTATGGAATACTAGGGTAACGGATAGAATCCATATACTGTACATATATAAGTATATCTTTATAGAAAAACATATTAAACATCCATGATTGGAGTACAAATGCTCGTATTCATCACACGAACATCTGCCCCTACCGGGATTTGAACCCGGGGACCTTTCGAGTCGGCGACACCATGAAACCCGCCGTACAAACCATTCGGCCACGGAGGTCGTCAAACGTGAGATGGTGTGGTGGTGGTGCAACGTATTCTAAATTCTCACAATGAAATGTGTTTCCTTGCGTGTAATAAATTAAGTTGTTTTTAGTTGCTGTTAAAATGTACGCGCAGCGGTGTGAGCTGACACTTCAAGTCTCTAATAGCACAATAGTTAGTTCGTTTACCCCGTTCATTGCAGCTTGATACATGTGCCGAGCTGAACTTTACCTACATAGTTAAAAAAATCGTGGAAACTATAACAATAGAGTTAACATTTTGGTTGACAATGTGCACTCATCCTTTAAATATAAAGAAGACCTTTAGGGCGTGCACAGCGTTAAACGGGAGCACGGAGCTGACGTCCGCTCCACGTGCAGTTTAATGTCATTTCCAGCTTAACACAGCGTAAGCCCTTAAATTCATTAAAGTTACCTGGGAAAGAGGACATTGTGTTGTTGCTAGAAGATTTAGACTTGTACAGTATTCGGTCGGTGTAAGCGGGGGCGCGTTGTTTACTCGACGTGTCGAATTGTTGACTGCCCGGATCATACTGCAAAATTCATTGGATGTGTAGTTTGGCCAACGAATTAGAAATTATGGAAGCATTAATCTATAGCAAAGGCCGCTAAAACATAGCTACAAATTAATACAACTACACTTGAACACCAACGCGACACGTACACAGTCAAAACAAAATACTTTGACAAATCAAATATCTGCAAATGAATTCGGCTATCCCTTCATTGGGTAAGATAATATTCAACGGAAATTCCAACCAATTCTATGATCAGCGTATTAATCGCATATTTGTCGCCACGCCAATTTGATCGCAGTTTGCGTGCAACCATATTATTGGTGGTTAAAGGAACTTACCTGTAAGTGAAGTTCAACCACAATTATACGAAGTTCAATGTCCGAAGACATTCATATAACAATGTAGTATAGCTTGTTGCTAGGAGTACCTTCGTCACGTTTAGAGAATATTAAAAAAAACTATGTTATCTGTCATCTGTCACCATCTGTCAAGTCATTATTTTTAGAGTTTAAGTACTGTCAACAGCGCATTATGATGCCCAGTTCCTAATATTTTTTCTTAGCCATTCTGGGGTATATACGTCTATAGTGTGATGTATTGATTGGGTTAAAAAAAACCTAAGTAATACATTATGTGCTGGTGACTGTACCAATGACCCAATTTACGTTACAGGGATTATTGTAGCTGATGTTACATTATGGGTGGGTAGGGTACTGAATGTCTTCGGACATTGAACTTCGTATAATTGTGGTTGAACTTCACTTACAGGTAAGTTCCTTTAACCACCAATTACACTTCAGTTCAATGTCCGAAGACATTCATATAACAATGTAGATGTTAAGAGCCTGGTTAACGTAAAATGGGACATATCATTTATTGATTACAATCAATGCATGCAGTGTTACTGGTACTTAGAAGTAAAAGTACTTGTACAAGACAAGTAATAAATAACAATAAGCAAATGAATTCAAATTAAATTAATGCAATTGTATAAAGACCATTACTTATCTGTGTTATGAAAACATTCTTTATGTTTTGCATAATTAAGTAAGGAAAAATATTATTACCCACTTAAAGGTTTACATTTGTTACCGAATATCCAGTTCTAAGTCCTTTGAGGTCGCGAAGCCATAACCTTTCCCAGCTCTATTATGAAAATGTGTCTTCTTCATGTCCTATAGAGCTGAGATATATGACGATGATAGTAATTGCATATCTGGTATTCTGAGAACATATATGGTAAAGGGAACACACAACATATTCATATCACTATAATTATTGTGAAATGCTTAAAATGAGTAAAAAACATGAACATGAAAACAATAAATACTTTAGTCGAAAATAAGAACCACAAATAATACTTATTAACGCCTACCTACCGCTAACAAGAGTAATTTTTTCGTGCTCTTCATATTGACTTAATATTTTCATGTTGCGGTAATAGAGTGTTGTTAATTCCACTATTAACGTCCTAGCATCGATTATTGTAAAAGAAACAAACGGCTAGGAAGTTGTGAACAATACTCAACCACAAGTACCTTAAAGATAGTAAGGTAAGTAAGGTACCTAAACTATTTATTTAACGGCAATTGTGTTAAAACCTTAGATAAGTGTTGTATTATTGTTTTTGTTGTTGTTGTTGATCTTATTGCATACCCGCTCCTACATCAATATTAAATAAAAGTGATAATGGTTGTATTATTTTTGAGTAGATAGGATACCTAGAACCTTAGATAAGTGGAGTGAAGCGAGAGCAATCATTTATTTATGCCTAGAACCTTTGTGGTAAGAACTTAAAGAGCTAATGTTAAGTCAAGATGCCAACTAAGCTTCAGTTGGTTGAAATTAGAAAACTATTTTGCAAAACTACTAGCAGAGTCTATATACGTTATCCTGTCCAATTACAGTACCATCTTTCGGGACAAATTGTGAATCTAAACCATCCCCATACTCACTTATGTGCACACATATACTGTTATCAAATGTGATCCAACTGCTTTAAAGGATACTATATATGGAAAGAAGATATTTTAAAATAAGTGTAATTGAGACTATTAACCTTTTTCTTATGAAACCTGTTTCATTGATTTAATTCTTCATTACCTACTATATTGTTTCACAAAATTAATTAATCCAGTTAAGCTGCAAAGAGATACATTGATGAATTACTATTTATACAATGTGAATGCTATTATTCCATCTATAAGAGATTCTTGCATTGGTGAAATGTTAAGGTAAACTATCCCTTGTAAAATAAGGGAATACAAATTTGTTTTCAATATTACAGCATGAGTAATATATGCTATGATATTTACTACTAGTAAATAAAGTACCTAAGTAAGAGATAAACTTATTAGGGTAAGAAAATGTACTCTAATGTCCTCCAAATATAAGCAAGCATGGCTGGTTTCAACTGACTTGGTGTCCACAGAAATTCATGTCAATTTGATAAGAGTATCTGCATATTACTGTCTATAATAAAATTAATAATAAATTTAAAATTATTAGTATGATAAAAAAAACCTGTTATTATATTTGTACACATTGTTTAAGGGATGAAACATTTTATGACTCCACCATAAAATGTGGTAAGGGTGTAAGTTTTATTGACTTATCATAATTCCTTAATGAGATCACACAGGAACAAAGGTTGGCAATTTAATTAGATCAGTACCAAAACACACATTTGCACATTCTATGTAGAATAGTTTTATAAAATTGTTAATTTATATGTATGTATATATATATATATATCTATTTATTGCTATATGAATATTTTACAACATAAAATGCTACTTGTTTCTATGTAGGCATTTTTATATGGTGTTGTGATCTTATAAGTTAAAATTTTTCTACATTATAAGGATTATCAATCATTGAAGAGTTTGTTTGGTAATAGTTATTATGTTAATTTATTACTAGCTTCATTTAAATTATGAATCAAATATTATTATTTCTATTTTATTTTTTATTATCAATTATTTGAATGACAGCAAGACCAATACATTATCAGATTTCATGAAGATAATATAAAAATAGCAAACTTGGTGGTGCATGATTTCATTGAAAATGCTTATATTTTAATTGTTGTTCTTACAGAAGTAATTATACTTATCACAGCATAATATCCTTTAAAATTACCTAACATTAATGTTAATCTTTTATCAGTTAAGGTGCATGACAACATAATTGTTTATGTTGTATAAAAATGTATCTTAAGGAGATACTATAATGTCAATCCTGAAATATTAATATGTTTTAATATAAATAACCTAGTTACGAAGTTTTGTCAAATAGTATTTGACCGAAATTCACATGAATCACCTTCTTTGGATTTGATACCAAAAAACACATGAACATGCTCTTTATATGTCCTTGTTTGAAAAGTATGGTCTCAATATGATAAATACTTAAAAAATTGTGTTGTCATCTAAGTGTTATAGAGAAAAAAATATAAATATTGTTTTGTTAGGTGTAAGTGGTGCACATACCACTTTTATGTATTGTGAAAGTCAATATATGAATTAACCACTAGTTATACCTTTGAGTAATTGGCGATTATTAAAAGCACCCATTACTTAAATTTAATATATCGACACAATACAGAAACAGACTGTTTTGGTGTGTCTAACCAGGTTCACATTCATTTGTGAAATAATATAGTTTTGCTAATTGTTAATTTTATTACTTTTGACATTAATGGATTCCATCATATAAGACTGTTTTAACACTCACTTCAAGCAATTGTGTTTGCAAGTTGAAGGAGTTACCTCTAAACATATTTTATACTTACTATATCATTATTGAATAGTGATTGTGGAAGCAGCAGACTGGGAATTCTTATTGTATATTTGGTGTGTAGCAATGATGTTTTATTGATTAGGTATGTGCTTCCATTTTTAGCTTTTGAACATAGTTCTGATTATTTGCAAAATGCAGTTCAGCATTTTTTAAGCATGTAGTCATTTTCCTTATTATTAATCCATGCTCAACAATAATGCAGTTTCTAATATTTTTAGCTTAGCCTTTCAACAAGAAATACATTCCTTTATAGTTTAATAATGGTGTCTCAATAAAATGATATTTCTTTTATAATATACATTTATCTGTTTCAAGGCACTTCTAGTGGTTCCGGTATCAGTATACCATAAATTTCTGTTGTCCCATAAATAATTCCACTATCATGATAATATTAGAATTGTTATTTATAAAATCTGTCTCATGGTGTTTCCATATTAACTAACCCAAGTTAATAATCTGCTAATTTAGAAGTCGCTTTGTTGCATATATAGGTATTTTCAAATAATCATAAGAGAATGTCAATCATTAAATTAATATTAATCTTTTAATAAGATTAATATTCAGGTACTACCTGGATATAGATTTCCCCAAGTTTAGAGACTACATCTTTTCTCTATACTGTTTGAGTTTTTGTTAGAGTTGTTATACCACTGCTTGGAGAAATTTAATAATATTTATGAAAAGCAGAGATCAGTATTACCTCTATGTTTTATCCGCTGGTATAGATTCAAATATTCCGTTCTCACAATGGGCCCTGGTCATAGTTGTTTGTCTGATATTTTGGCAACAACGACATTCTTGTGGTTTAATTTAAATGACCATGATATATTGATCTATTTATTAAAGATCAGGGTATATTCAAGTAGGTGCCCTCTTTCAGGATAATATCAATCAGTATGTATCACATTAAGGAAGAAAGTAATTATGTTTCAGGACAGCATCACGTACTGCCACATCAAGAAACATTAGGTATTCTGTTTCAGGACAGCATCAAGTACTGCCACATCAAGAAACATTAGGTACTCTGTTTCAGGACAGCATCAAGTACTGCCACATCAAGAAACAGATAGGTTACTAAAGGATAGTAGTAAGTTTGGGACATTCGGAATCGTACATTTCTTTGTGTACTTACTTATACAAATAATGTTCTAGGACAATATCCTTATTACCTATTCATGAACACAATCCTCGTCCACCTCTTGGGCCCAGGAAGT